GCCCCCTGCGCTCCCGCCCGGGCCGCCCCAGGACACCGCGCCCGGCTGCGACGCGCGGCTCGGGAGGCGGTCCCCCCACCTCCACTCACAGCTGAGCAAGACCGGGTCACTAGAATCCAGCCCTCGATCGCACTCGACGCCAAGGCACCTCCCCGGTTTAAAGGACCGGGTGAAACACGGGCATTAGAATGAAAACTAAAAACCAAGGTGACTTTGTGAATGTGTCAAAGAAGTTGCATAAGATATGCACCCAGCATTTAAAAGTTAAAGAAAGTATTAAGAAGACCATTTTCCACTCCCGCCTTGTTCAAACTAAAAATCTGAATTTGTTTCCAAGATCTCAGGTATTGTAGCCTTAAGAAGTGTGCACGGTTTGGCTTCGGTTGTGTCTTGTTTTCTCCAGGGGCCTGGAGGGTGAACTCTGGGCACCCACTGGATAGGCAAGCCCTCGAGCAATTGAGCTCCACCTCCGGCCCTATTTAAGCTTTTGTTCTTTTCTAGATAGAGCCTCGGGTTCAACAGGAATCACCCTCCAGCTACCACCACACCCATATCCTTTTATTTACAACTTACTACAGGCCTAAATCCTTAGACACAGCACCCCATTGGTTTTATGGCAAGTAGTATCTTTTCTACTTTACCAGGCAAGAGAGACACTGGAAGACACTAAGGAATTTGTCCAAGTCCAGAGAACAAGAAGCCAGCCTAATTGGGATTTGAACTAAAGACTGAAGTATTCCTGAGCAACTTACAAGGAGAGGGAAGCAGGCTGGAACATGAAGGACCCAGGAGTCTCGCTGGATAATGACTTACTCATGCCCCAATGCAGAGGGGCTGTTCAAGGGATGGCTCTCTATATAGATCAGAGGATGGCCTGAAAGTTCATGAAAGGTTGGCTGTAAATGGGTCACCCTCCAAAGGAGAAATACTCCTAAAGGATGAGAACAGAATCTCCACTGTAGATGGAAGAATGCCTAGGAATGAGAGAAACCATAAGGATCTGTTGCCCTAAAAAAAAAAAAAAAGAGTCAACAATAATGAATATTGAAAGAACAATAGTGGAACCTTAGGATAGTATGAGCAATCAGTAGATTTGAAAATCTCAACAAAATACTAAGAAGCTACCGTGTATCTCAGGTGGGAACAGGTAGCGCAATTCTCCAGCATAAAATATTAACAGGATAAATAAAAAATTTATATGATCATAATAACTGATGCTGGGTGAAAAAAAATGACAGTAGAGAGACCAATGCAGGAAGATCTAAAATTCTAGGCTACCCTTGAGCTACCTGGAGCAAGACCCCACAAAAAGAAGAGAAGGGAAGGGGGAAAAGGAAAAAGGGAAGGGAAGGATATAAGGGGGGGAGGGAGAGAGCTGTGTGACCAAAGTGGTAGAGCATCTCCTAGCAAGTGTAAAGTCCTGAGTTCAAATCCCAGGAGGGGGAAAAGGAGAGAGGAGTAGGGAAGGGTTAGAGGTGGAAGGGGATGGAAAGGAGGAGGGGGGAGGGGAGAGGGGGAGAGGAGTGCAGAAAGGAAGGAGGCAGGAGAGAATGGGGAAGGGGAAAGAAAGGAAGGGAAAAAAAGGAAGAGTAAACAACAACAAAAAGACCAACAGGCACATAAAATGATAGTCCACATAGTCATTAAGCAAATGCAAAATCAAACCAAAGGGGACACCACTTCATCACCCACCAGGATGCCTATAATGACAGAGAGAAACACAAATGTTGGTGAGAATTTGGAGAAATGGAAACCTTCATACAATGCTGGTGTGGTCCCTTGGGAAAATAGTCTTCAGCTACTCAAGAAGTTACACATACAGCTATCACACAGCCCAGCAATTCTACCTCCAAGAGTACACCCAAGAAAATTTGAAACATCAGTTCATACCACTGTATATAAATGCTCACAACAACATTTGTTCTTTTGTATCCCCAAAAAAAGAAACAATTCAAATGTCCATCAAGTGATAAAGTAAACATGGTGTTAGCCATACAATGAAATGTTTCTACATAAAAAGGAATGGAGTACTGATACATGCTGTACCATGGATGAATCTGGAGAACATTTTGCTGAGTGCGACAGCAGATACAAAAAGGTACATTTTGCATAATTCCATTATCTGTGCAAGTATATAAAAACATAGTCTCAAAATACACCTTCAGCCAGAGTACAATTATTTTTGATGAATAGCATCAATTTTACATAATCTTTTTCAGAAAACAAGTGAAGGAAGTACTTCTGTTTTCTGAAAAACACTACTGAGGCTAGCATTGTCCTAATACCAAAACCACACAAACATGGAAATAAATAAATGAATGTAAGGAAGAAAAGGAAGAAAGGAAAAGAGAGAGGGAGAAAGAGGGAGGAGGAGGAAAAAAGGAGGGAGGAAAGCAGATTGAAGTCTAGCTGGGCACTGGTAGCTAAGGCCTGTACTTCTAGCTACGCAGAAGGCTGAGATCTGAGGATCACCATTCAAAGCCAGTCTGGGCAGGAAAGTCCATGAGACTCTTAACTCCAATAAACCACTCGGAAAACCAGAAATGGTGCTGTGGCACTAGCTTTGAGCTGAAGAGCTGAGGGACAGTGCCCAGGCCCAGAGTTCAAGCCCCACAATAGACAAAAAGAAAAACAAGACTGAAGTCTATTATCTCTCGTGGACATAGATACAAAAATCTTCTACAAGGTATCAGCAAAATAAGACTCACTAATTTTTTTTTTTTGGTCGCGCAGAGTTCAAGCCCCATGACTGACCAAAAAAAAAAAAAAAAAGCCAAAACAGAGGTACATCTCAAATAGTAGAGAGCTAGTCTTGACCAAAAAAGCTCAGGATCAGTGCCCAGGCCCTGACTTCAAGCCTCAAGATTAGCACACAAAAGAAATCAAAACACTCAACCATAGCGAAATCAAAAGCTACTTCCTAAAAGAATCTACCAAAACACAATAAGGTCAAAATTATGGAGGAAGACTCTATGTTAGCCCTCTGAGACTGAAACAAGTAAGGAAACCAAAACAGATGCACCAAAGGGAAATGAAAAAGAGAACCATCCTTACTGGCAGACAATATAACTAAAAAAGAAACAACCTAACTATAAAAGAAATTACAAATAATTTATACACAGGATCCTGGAAAGCATAAGTGAATTAGCAACATACAAGAAAATCATGTTTCTAAAGGCTAATAATGATCAATGGCATCTTTGAAAAATTTGAGAGGTAGCCTCATTTTTAAAATGTCAAAGCTGGGATTGGGAAGGTGGCTCAGTGGTAGAGTGCTAGCCTTGCATGCATGAGGCCCTAGGTTTGATTCTTCAGCACCACACAGGCAGAAAAAGCCGAAGTGGCACTGTGGCTCAAGTGGTAGAGCGCTAGCCTTGAGCTGAAGAGCTGAGGGACAGCGCCCAGGCCCAGAGTTCAGGCCCCATGACAGACAAAAAATAAAACAAAAAACAAACATAAAATGTTAAAGCTGTGGTCATTGGTAACTTATGCCTGTAATCCTAGCTATGCAAGAGGCTGAGATCTGAGGATTGTGGTTGGAAGACAGCCTGAGTTGGAAAGTCCATGAGATTCTTTTTTTTTTTTTTGGGGGGGGGTCCAGTATGCTTAGTAACTGTCCAACGATGTATTCAATTTAGGAATATAAATGGAGCCATCTCTGGGCCCCTATTTGAGTAAAATGAAATGAATTTGTTTGTATCCAAGTGGATATACAAAATCACCTGTGAGATTTAAGGAGTTAACTTGCAAATAATTGGTGCCGCACAGAAACAAACATTTACATTAACATGTGATATTCAGGAATTCAACTGAGCACTAGAAAAAGGTTCTAGACTAAAAAGAAAAAGAAGAGTTAGGAGATTGTATTACTCTATACTGAGAAAAATTAATTAAATGTATTTGTAACTTGACAAGGTAAAGTTAGACAAAGGTTAGTAAACTAACAATTCCACTATAAGTAGAAGCATGCATGGTGGTACCTTCCTGTAAGCCAAGCACTTGAGAAGATGAGGAAAGATGTTCATGAATTTAAAACCAGTCTTGGCAACATAGGGAGTTCCAGACCAGCCTATACTATGGAAGTGGAGGAAAGGAGGGTGGGAGGGAGGGAGGGAGGGAGGGAGGGAAGGAGGAAGGTGGAAGGAAGGAAGGAAGGAAGGAAGGAAGGAAGGAAGGAAGGAAGGAAAGAAATCTGGCCTAGCACATTGTGTGAAAAGGTAGTTTTTCGCATAACTGAAATAGAAAAGGCATTTTACTCTGATCTCCACTGCCATCTTCTTGTGTTACTCTTCTCTCCTTTCCATTATCATCTTCTGAGTTTTCTACTTCTTCGATGACCATCCTTCTTCCCTTGGTCTGTGTCTTCAATGCAGGTTCAGAATTTTTCAGATCTCGTTCAACCTCAGACAAGGTTTTCTGCAACATAATCACCATACCAATAAACATGTTTTCCTTTAATGAAAAAGTGATATTACAGATAAGAATATACAGATGTTTTTAAGTGGAGATAACATAAGGCTCTTATGGTGGTCTAATTTCTTTTTCTTCAAAAAATTATCTGATTATAATTATACGTTTACTTAAAAATAGAAGAAAAAAAAGGCCTTTGGGTGACAAATACAAAAAGGAAAGAGAAAAACCTACCCCAAATCCTGCCACTCAGATAACACTACCAACATTTTGGTGATTTTTCCCATATGTTTCCATACATATAAACATATAGATGTTTAAACAAATAAAATCATGCTACACATCGTTTCCTTAAAAGTAGTTGAAAGTCCTGAAATTCTTTATGCCAACTAGAATAAACATTTAGCTGGGCATCGGTGGTTCACACCTGTAATCCTAGCTTCTAAGGAGGCTGAGATCTAAGGATCAAGGTTTTTGAAGCCAGCACAGGCAAGAAAGCTCCTGAGACTCCTATCTCTGATAAACTACTCAGAAAAAGCCAAAAGTGGGGCTGGGAAGATGGCTCGGTGATAGAGTGCTTGCCTTGCGTGCATGAGGCCCTGGGTTTGATTCCTCAGCACCACATAAGAAAAAAGAAAAAAGCTGGAAGTGGTGCTGTTGCTCAAATGGTAGAGTGCTAGCCTTGAGCTGAAGAGCTGAGGGACAGCGCCCAGGCCCAGAGTTCAAGACCCACGACCGGACCCCCCCCAAAAAAAAGAAAAAAGAAAAAGCCAAAAGTGGTGCTGTGACTCAAGTTGTAGAGCACTAGCCTTGAGCAAAAAGAGGCTCAGGAACAAAATTCAGGCCCCAAGTTCAAGCCCCAGGGCTTGGCAAAAATAAATAAAGGAAAAATAGAATGTGTATATCAAACCATCCCTCCATCTTTAAAATGTTCATGAAGGATAAATGACAAGAAGTGCACATACTTAAAATGTACAAGTTGATAGGGTATTAAAATAAAACACATCTATCACTCCCCAAAGTTTCTTCCACTCCCCTACCCCTCCCTGCAACGATTGTTCTGTTGTGACAGGCTAGTTTGCATTCTAGATCTTCATATAGACAGAATCATTCTGCATGTTCTTGTTTCTGCCTGGCCGCTCGCACTCAGCACAATCACTTAGAACCATCTGTGCTGTTCTGTGTCTCAATAGCACATTCCGTTGCACTGTGGATAAAGTCCATAGTGTGGATATAGTATTCACCTGCCAATGGACATTTTAGACTGTCCTATTTTATTACAAATATAGTTGTTATGAGTATTCAAGAATAGGTCTTTGTACGGATATATGATTGCATTTTTCTTGTGTAAATACCTAAAAGTGGAATGGAATGACTAGAGCATATGACAGGTATATGTTTTTATGTTTAACTTTTTATGATACTGCCAAATTATTTTCCAAACAAGTGGTCACTATTTTACATTCCCAGGAATTTCATTTCCTTCACATCTTCACCAACAATTGGTACAGTAAGTCCTTTCATCTCACTTTTGAACTTATATTTCCCTAACATTAATAACATTTGAACATCTTTTCATGTGCTTATTTTCCATCTTTATATGTCTTCTGATAAACTGTCAGATCAAATATTTTGTTTGGTCTGAAAGGATACCTCAGTGATAGAGCAATTGCCTTGCCTGTACAAGGCTTGGGTTTGATCCCAAGCACTGCCAAATTATATACATGCGAATGTGTGCATATATGCAAATGTATTTGCTTATTTCCTATTTAGCTTTTTGTTTTCTTATTAAGTTTTGACAGTTCTTGATACAAGTCTTCCGTTGATTTGCAAACATTTTCTTCCAGTCTATGGCTTATCCTCCTATTCTTCTAATAGTGTCGTTCAAGAAAGCAGGCCTTTTTAATCTTGATGAAGTTGAATTTATCAATTTTTTCTTTTATAGACTATATTTTCCAGGTCATAGGAAGAAAATATTCATTTAAATAAAAGTCACTGGGGCTGGGAAGGTGGCTTAGTGGTAGAGTGCTTGCCTAGCATGGGTTCCATTCCTCAGCACCACAGAAACAGAAAAGGCCAGAATTAGAGCTGTGGCTCAAGTGGTAGAGTGCTAGCCTTGAGCAAAAGAAGCTCAGGGACAGTGCCCAGGCCTGAGTTCAAGCTCCAAGACTAGCCAAAAAAAAGAAAAAAATCATGGGCTGGGAAGGTGGCTCAGTGGTAGAGTGCTTGCCTTGCATGCATGAGGCCTTGGGTTCAATTCCTCAGCACCACATAAGCAGAAAAAGCCAGAAGTGGCACTATGGCTCAAGTGGTAGGTGCCATGACCGGCCAAAAACAAACAAACAAAAAAATATCACCAAGTTTTTAATTGCTGTTATAAAGGTGATGTACAGAGGGGTTACAGTTACATAAGGTAATTAGTACACTTCTTTTTTCTTTTTCTTTTTTGTCAGTCGTGGGGCTTGAACTCTGGGCCTGGGCGCTGTCCCTCAGCTCTTCAGCTCAAGGCTAGCACTTTACCATTTTAAGCCACAGTACCACCTTGGCTTTTTCTGCTTATGTGGTGCTGAGGAATCAAACCCAGGGCCTCATGCATACAAGGCAAGCATTCTTACACTGAGCCACTTTCCCAGCCCCATGAGTACATTTCGTTATAGGACGATGTCAACCCTTCCTCTTGCCTTTCCCAGTTTTTCCTCCTGTCTCAACCCACAGATTGTATAATTCATTTACAGCGTAGTATCTAATGAATACTACTGCTGCATTTGTGTACCCTTTGTCCCTTCATTTCTGTATCTCCCCCCACCCCTGCCTTACCCTCTTAAAAGCAGATAAGTGAACAAACATGACAAAAAGAGGATAAAACAAAAACAGCAATGAATGGCCGAGTAACAGTGGCTCAAGCCTGTAATCCTAACTACTCAAGAAGCTGAGATTTAAGGATCGTGGTTCAAAATCAGCCCAGGCAGGGAAGTCAGTGAGACTCTTATCTCCAATTAACCACCTGAAAACCAGAAACAGTGCTTTGGCTCAAGTGGTAGAGCTCTCTCCTTGATCTGAAAAGCTCAGGGACAGAGCCCAAGCCCGGAGTTTAAGCTCCTCGACCATAACAACAACAACAACAAAACAGCAATGAAGAGAAATTCTTTTTTTTTTTTTTTTTCTGTTCGTGGTGCTTGAACTCAGGGCCTGGGTGCTGTCCCTGAGCTTTTGTGCACAAGGCTAGTGTTCTACCACTTGAACCACAGCTCCATTTTCAGCTTTTTTGTGTGTGTGTGCTTAACTGGAGACCAGAATTTCACAGATTTTCTTGCCTTTGGATGGCTTTAAACTGTAACCTCAGATCTCAGCCTCCTGAATAACTAGGAGTGTGGGCAGCCAGTGCCCGGCTTACTATGTTTTCTTCTAGAACTTTTATTTTAGGTTTTACATTAAGGTATATTATCCATTTTGAGTTCATCTTTACATATGGTTAAGCTAAAAATGCATTTGGAGAAGGCTTAAAAGTTAATATTTGAACATAAAATTATTGTTGTAAAATGAAAGTGGCTTCTCTTGTTCCAACATTTTTCTCTTATAATACTGTTACATTAACACTTAATGTCTATAAGCATCGTATAAAGGACATCCAGAGAAAGTGTGATAGATAACCCAGTAGGTACCGAAGTTAGTGGAAACTTAGGTACAGTTTATCAATGAAAGACAGCTGTTTACGAGCTTCTCCAATTCTGCCCATATGTTGAGTGGGGACACTGACATAGGACGATCTTTAAGGATGTTTGTACCAAGAATAGCCTTGGGAAGCATAAGTAGCATTTCCTGTAGGGAACAGAGCAAGTATTTTGCTCTCCAGTATAATAAAGATGGTAATTGCCTCTGAAGCAGAGGTTGGGCAGATTTGCTAATAACCCATCATAAAAGATGGGGTATTTTTCTTTTTCTTTTTAAAATTGTATTGTAAAGATGCTGTACAGAGGGGTTACAGTGACATGAGTAATGCAATGAGTATATTACTTGTGGATCATTGTTACCCCAGCCCTTCCTTGTTGTTCTCCCGCTATCCCTTCCCTCCCCTACCTCCCACACTCCTCCCCACACCCCACACCATTCTCCCCCCACCCCCCAAAGTTGTAAAGTTCATTTCCAATATACTGTCCTGTGGGTATCCTTGTTGCAATGGGTCATCCTGTGTCCTTGTTTCAGTTTTGTTATTCCCCTTCCTCTCCCCAGATTAGAGGTGTGTGTGTGTGTGTGTGTGTGTGTGTGTGTGTGTGTGTGTGTGTGTGTGTGTGTGTGTGTGTGTGTATCTGAACTCAAGGCTTGGGCACTGTCCCTGATTTTGGGGTTTTTGGTGGTGGTGGTGGTGGTCATGGGGCCTGAACTCTGGGACTAGGTGCTGTACCTCAGCTCTAGCTCAGGGCTAGCGATCTACCACTTGAGACACAGTGCCACTTCCGGCTTTTTCTGCTTATGTGGTGCTGAGGAATCAAACCTAGGGCCTCATGCAAGCTAGGCAAGCACTCTACTACTGAGCCACCTTCCCAGCCCCCTGAACTTGTTTTTGCTCAAGGCTAGCACTCTACCACTTGAGCCACAGTGCCACTTCCTGAAGTATAGACTCCCTAGCTATCACACAAATGTACAGAGTGGTAACATCCACCTGGGTCACTCTGTATAATTCCTCCAGTTATTGGGAACAAGGGAACTGACATGAATGTGAAGCTCATCTGTCTGACATGCCATGAGTGACCAAGTCCTTTGTGTCTGAGGTAGGGTATCTGCTGTGTAACTGTCTCCTTCCTTCCTTCCTTCCTTCCTCCCTTTATTTTCTTTTACCTTTTTTTGTGCTAGTCCTGGGGCTTGAACTCGAGACCTGGTGCTGTTCCAGAGCTTTTTCACTCAAGTCTAGCATTCTACCTCTTCTTGAGTCACAGCTTTACTTCCCTAAGTCCCTTTCTTTTATATTTTTTAGTTTTTTATTTTTATTATAAAGGTGATGTACAGAGTGCTTCCAGTCACATATCTCAGGTAAAGAATACATTTCTTTTTGGACAATGTCACCTCTTCCCTCACTCTCAGTTTTTCCCTCACATCCATGCCCAGAAGTGGTATAGTTCATTTTCAACCAAGTGTCTGGTGAGTACCACTGCTGCATATGTTCACCCTGTCTCCCTCCCCAAAGATATATAAATGAACAAACAGAACAAAAAGAAAACTTTCGTCTTCATTTCCTGGAGTTTATTTCAATAAATATTATGCTGTATTGATTGGATGGATGCACATGGGCATTACATCCTCCTTGTTCTCGCTGTGTGTGAATGCCTAGAGACTGGATAATTTATTATGCCCTGTATTTTAGATCTAGCTTCCACGTATGAGAGAAAACATACACCAAGGAGGGTAAAATCTTAGACTTCTCACTTACCTCTTACCACTTATCTCTGCAATTTTCTTTTTGTAGTGCTTGAGATTGGATTAAGGGACTCAAGCTTGCTAAACTGATGTTTTGCAACTTCAGTCATGCTTCCAGCCATTTTTGAATTATTTTCTAGGTAGAATCTCACTTTATGCTCAGGCCTGTATTGCCATCTTCCTAGTTTGTGTGTGTGTGTGTGTGTGTGTATGTGTGTGTGCGCGCGTGCGCGTACCCTGTATCACTATGGATGACAAGTGTGTACCACTGCAGCCAGCCATTGAGTGGGACAGAGTCTTGTAAACTTATGCCCAGGTTGGCCTCAAACAACCTCCACAACAGCTTGGATTACAAGCTTCAGCCACTATGCTTGACCTTACCTCTACTCTTCAGGCCTTAATATAGAGCCCCTTAATTCATATCTGAGTTAATCCACTCAGTTGGGTAGTGTGTGCTATCAATGATGCTATACTTACCATGCTAGAAGCTAGCCAAAGCCTCTTCTATGGCCATGAAACTCACCAGTAATACCTAGAAACTTGTATGCCACTCTGCATAATAAATTGGTATTTGTTTGGAGAAAAGCAATGCTTGCAACACTATAAGTGACAAAAATTAGCTGAGTGATAGGTTTCTACTTGGGAATACTTTATTTTTCTTAAAAGCCTGTGCTCTTTCACATCAGGAGGATGTTCAACATTTTTTGTATCTGGAATATATCTGCGTTGCGAAGCTCTGACCAACCCTTTAACATCACTGATTTGGCAAGAATGTTACCATTGTAATGTAAATTCAAAAACAGCATTGAGAGACAAGTCCATGTTCTGTACTTACCTTGGCCAGTTCGTTATCAGGCTCAACATCCAGTACTTTAGTCAAGTCTTCTAGAGCTTCCTGGAACTTGTTTTGATGCTTATACGTAGTGGCACGACGCAGAAGAGCTGAAAATTTACCAAAATAAAAGTTGGATGTTGGACAGCTGCCCTGATGGTTAGAACAGACTTTGCAAGTGGGAAAATACAAGCAGCAGGGGAGATCAGTATGCAAAACTTAAATTACCCACTTTCATCTGTTGATCCCAGGGAAAACAAACCTGTAGTAAACGAGCAAGAGAGGATATACCAGGCAGCTACCTCTGCTGCCATCCTGGCCTCGGCAGCCAGGCCCACCAGCTCCTCCCAGGGCTGAGGATTGCCAGAGCAACCTTCCAAACAGGTGTATGTGCCCCACAACACTGCAGCATTGGGAAGCTTTCCTTCTTATCATCATTCTAGAAACTTAGAAAAGCTGTATGAAAATTAATAAACTACTGACCAGCATCTAGCTTAGACTATGGCGTATCCATGAAAGCTATTTATCCAATGTTCAAATGTTTAGAGAGAGTATTGCAATCATGAAGTCAGTTAAGCTAAAAAATGGAGCGCTTGTGTCAGATTCTTCGGTAGTTTCAGTGTATATGTTATAATTAATACTGACAATGAATCTTTCAGCCCCACCCCTTTATCCATCCTATAAAGAGAGGACTTTGTGTGATAAAATTGGTACTTTGAAAAATATCAGGCTTCTTATTTATGAGAAGAAGTTTCTATCTGAAACACCTGACCTGTTTTTAAATATAGCTGTAAGATTAACCTGCTGGTTTTCGTTTCAGCCCTCTAGGAATGCTATGGAGATCTCAAGAGCAAGTCATTCTGTGATCAATTACTCCAACTTGAGATACTGCCTACACTTTCCCATCACCATTGCTGGTCAGATTCCCAAGGGAACATGGGTCCATGCAGATGTGTTCATGATAGAACAATTGTCTGTAATGTTTTTTATTATTTGGAATGACTTGAGAGTTACAGAAAAGTTGCAAAAATAGTACGGAGAGTTCCAAGGTCCCTTCATTCAACTTCATCTAATGCTAACATTTTAATCATTCTTTCAGGATTATGAGCTAGCCCAGTACAATCAGGGACTTCAATTCCAAATAGGTGGTTGGAGCACATGTAGAAATTGGGGTTTTGCTGAAAGCTTTATGTAAATATACTTAGTATCTACAGACGATCTAACGGGTCCTGCTGTAACTTTCAAAGTGCTCAGTGAACATTTACCCTTGATGTTTCCAGGCTCCAACTCCAAGACCTTTTCACAGTCCTGGAAAGCACTATTCCAGTTCTGTAGTTTGATTTCCGCTTGAGCTCGATTGTTATAGGCAGCCACAGTAGGAAGGGCTGAGAGGCTCCTAAAAAGAAATACTTATTGGCAACATGCAGGCCCAAGATAAAATTGTAAATAAAAAAAAATCATACCACATGTATGGGCTGAACAATGTCCCTTGAGAACTTAATGTTAGCTGGGTATGTTACTACATGACTATAATCCCAGCATTTGGCAGGATGAAGCAGAAGGATCATGAGTTCCATTTCAGTCTGGGCTTATGTGGAACAAGGAAAGATCTTGTCTCAAAGAACAAACGAAAAAGTATATGTTGAAGTCCTGACCCCGCAGTGTCTTAGAAAATGAATATGGTTGGAGATAGGAATTTAAAAGTGGCAATGAAGTTAAAATAAAGTCACTGATGTGAGCTTTAATGCAGTCAAAACTAGCACCTGAGGGGAAATTGAAGCTAGGTGCTGGTGGTTCATACCTGTAGCTACTCAGGAGGCTGGGATCTAAGGATCATGGTTTGAAGCCAGCCTGGGCAGAAAAATCCTCATGAGATTATTATCTCCAATTAACTACTCAAAACCCAGAAGTGGAGCTATGGTTTTAAGTGGTAGAGTGCTAGCCTTGAGCACAAAGAGGCTTAGGGACAGTGCCCAAGCCCTGAATTCAAGCCCCAAACCAAAAACCAAAAGAAAAAAAAAAGAGGAAAAATTGGAGCTCTGATGTCTGACACACCCTGTGAGCACAGGGGGAAAAGATGGTCACTTGCCAACCAAGAAGAGGGGCCTCAGAAGAAATCATCCCCACCTATACCTGGATCTCTCAGACTTACAGCCTCCAAAAATGTGAGAGGTTAAGTTTTTCAGTTTGTAATATGTTGTGATGGCAGCCTGAGCAAAATAATATAGCCTGTATCACTCAAAGTAATAAGACATAAACCTACATATAAAACTTACATTTAGACAGATGCTTCACTAACCAGTAACAGGCTAAAGTTAATTCAGATTTTTGAGGTGATATCGAAATGAAGATACATATAAATCTCTCAACAAAACAAAACAGGTTAGTTCATATTAAATGGCAAACTTTTTTACTCCTCAGGATCAATTTCCTAGTATACACACAAAAAATGGAGTGATCAATCCCAATTAATAGCCTTTCTTCAGTTGTCAGCGTGCTAACTGAAACAAATGAGTCTGCAATGTACAAGTAGATTCTAAGATTCTAAGAAAATGATCCAAAAGTAATTTAATCAAAGAAATTCAATTGAAGGGAACAGAAGAAAGTCAGTAGGATGAAGAATATCAAAAACAATGTTCCTCCATGAAAGAGATAAGTACATGAAATGAATGAAAAGAACTTTAACATCAACCTTATTGTTGATTTGGAATGCTGTGAAATAATACCCAGATATAAGAAATACAAGGTTATCAGTGCACTGCATTTATAAAACCCACAACAGAAGATGGAAACAGGAAAGCAGTGAGCAGGATCAATTTATCAGATCATGAAAGATGAATGGGGAGGAACGGCATGGCTGGGTAGAGAGATGTGCAGAACACCTGTCAGTAAACAACTGGAACACTTGATCCTAAGCATTCCTGCCACTGTGTGCCATTGGCCAGGCACTAAGGCCTTCACCCACAGAGCTCACTTCCTCATTTCCAGGCATGGAGGGAGAATCATTGTTCTTTTCATTACACAGATGAGAAAGCAGGTGCTCGTGTTGTGCCCACAGCTAGTAAATGACAGGCAAGAGAGAAAGTCAGTCTGCTATGGTTACTACCATGTCCTCCCACTTTGAGTAACATTGTCTAGATCAGGCCTCATGACAGCACTCATCTGCGCTATGACAGCTTATAACACTGAGGAAACAGGCACAGGAGATAAGGAGTCTTCCAGGGTCAGAAGGAAGCAGGTCTTTACCCCCATACCACATCATACCATATATACAACATAGAACACATATCTTTCTCCATAGACAAGAAGAGAGAAAACGATGTCAGCCCTGAACACAAGAGACTGCCCTGACTGAATGATCCACCCAGCATCTTTCCTGTGTTCCCTTAAACTGTCAAAGATAACAAAGTTCTTTTTTATTTTCTTCTTTGGTAGTACTGGGGCTTGAACTCGGGGCCTCTTATTTGCTCAGCTGGCACTCTACTGCTAAGTTATACAGTTATACTTCTGGCCTTGTTTTTCACTGGTTATTGTCAGGGTAGAGAGAGTCTCACTTTCCCTGGGCTCACACCTGCACTTATTTAGATTATTTTAGATTCTCATAGTCACTAGGGTCTCAACACCCACCATCGCACCCAGCTTCCCTCCATAGAGGTGGAGTCTCATGGACTTTTGTGTCCAGGCTGACCTTGATCTGTCATCCTCCCAATCTCAACCTCTCATACAGCTTGGGATGACAGGCATAAACCACTACCTCCATCCATGGGTTGAAATGAGGGTCTTGAAAACTTTCCTTCCCAGGCTATGGCTGAACCTTGATCCACCCATTCCCAGCCTCCCAAGTAGCTAGCGTTTCAGGGATGAGCCACAAGTGCTCAGCTATAGACAACTTCCTTAGAGACACAACCTTCGTGTACCGAGTTTAATTCTACGGTGGCATTAGTGATTCTATACGCTCAATTTAGGAACTTCTTTTCACAGACTGTAAAAACTTCAAAAGTTCCTATCAGCACTTATTGAACATCTGCTATGAACCAGGCCTTTTCCTGGATTCTGAGGACATAAGGATATAAAAACAAAACAACAACAACAAAACAAAACCAAAAATACCTGGGCAAGTATTTAGAGATGACATTGCAGTTAGTACGGCATCAAACAAACTGTGTCTTTGACAAATGCTAGAAAGAATTGATAAGGCTGTGGTAAGAGCCTATAAACTGCAGTGCAGAGGTGTAGAGATGGATGAAGGCTGGGAGGCCAGGAAGACTTTGACAAAGACGACAAGACAAGTTCTAAAGGATGAGTTAGGATTAAGTAGAGGCTGCAAGTGCATTCTAGGGTATAAAGGGACTGAGGAGAGGGAGATGCTTAAGTATCAGAATGGAACAGGACCAGCAATCTGACTGCAGAACTCAAATTCTTAATCTTTATGCTATGTGAGTTCCATCAAGTTTCTTTCAGATGATTTCAGGGTTTTTTTCTGTAAAATGGGGAAGTTTAGATTCTGTTAAATACAGAGTAGAGTAGGAACTTAGAAGTCTGAGAAAAGTTTTTTGGTTTTTTTTTTTTTTTAATCGAGACAGTGTTAGGGATATAGCCTAGCAAGATAAGACCTTGGTTTCACACCACACACTAGCTGAAAAAGACAAAAAATATATATATATAAAAGCACAAGGGGAGCCAGGCACTGGTGGCTCACACCTGTACTTGCAGCTAATAAAGAGGCTGAGCTCTGTGGGTTCAAAGTCAGCCTGGGCAGAAAAGTCCAAGGGAGAGTGTTATCACCAAAAAGCCAGAAGTGGATATACAGCTCAAATCGTAGAGCACTAGTCTTGAGTGAACAAGCCAAGCAATAGCATGTGGACCTAAATTCAAGCCCTAGTACTGGCACCAAAGAAAAGAAAAGAAAGCAGCACCAGTGAGTTCATGATAAATCACAAGCATAACTTAAGTGAGCCTGATAGACTGCTGAGCTATAGTTCCAGCAACTAGTCCATTAGAGCTTTATTTAAATAAAAAAGTTTGAACAACAGAAGCCTGCTCACCTAGTGTAATACATCACCGCCTCTTCATAATCTTTTGAGTTGAAAGCCTCATTTCCTTTTTCCTTTTCACGAGTGGCAAGAATTCCCCTTTCCTTCTCCGTTAGGCCTAAAAATAAATATCTGATTTATAGGAACACATAACTAGATAGGTAGATAGGTAGATAGATAGATAGATAGATAGATAGATAGATAGATAGATAGATAGATAGATAGATAGATAGATAGATAGATAGATGATAGATAGATAGATAGATAGATATAAAAAGTTCAAATTCAAGAGAGCTTTTTTTTTCAGTTTCCTGAAAATCTTCACATCAGGCAATTACACATCACTGAGCGCCACTCTCTCATCCACTTCTGTGTATTATAGCTTAAGTAGAAAACAACAAACTAGACCAAAGAAATGAAAGGTTTCCTAAGCTTAGGGGCTTTCATTTTCTTTACCATTCACAACTTTTAAGAATTTCAATTTTTAAAAATTGGTTTTACCGCTATCTTTTTGTTGCAAAGAAAAAAAGATAAAGGGCTAGGAATGTGGCGTAGTGGTAGAGTGCTTGCCTAGCACGCATGAAATCCTGAGTTCAATTCCTCAGAATCCACATACACAGAAAAAGCTGGAAGTGGTGCTGTGGCTCAAGTGGTAGAATGCTAGCCTTGAGCAAAAGAAGCTCAGGGATAGTGCCCAGGCCTTGAGTTCAAGCCCCAGGGATGGCCAAAAAAAAAAAAATGAGGAATTTGTAGGAAAGAGAAAATTGGGAAAAAATTACAGCAAGAATAATGGGTTTATATTCTTTTTCTTGGTATTATTGTTGTTGTTGGTGGTGGTGGTGGGGCCTGAACTCTGGGTCTGGGCTCTGTCCTTCAGCTCTTTAGCTCAAGGTGAGTGCTCTACCACTTGAGCCACAGCACCACTTCCAGCTTTTTCTGCTTATGTGGTGCTGAGGAATCGAACCCAGGACCTCGTGCATGCAAGGCAACCACTCTACCACTGAGCCACGCTCCCAGCCTCTGGGTTTATATCCTTAAGTCTTACATATTTGATTATTATAACTATTATTCATATAAAATTAAATAGTTAAAGATATATGAAGTCAGGCAATGGTGGCTCACACCTATAATTCTAGCTACTGAGGAAGCTGAGATCTGATTCAAAGATCAGCTGGGGCAGGAAAGTCTGTGAGACTCTTATTGCCAATAAAGTACAAAAAAGCTGGAAGTGGAGGTGTGGCTAAAGTGGTAGAGCACTAGCCTTGAACACAAAATCCCAAGAACAGCATCTAGGACCTCATTTCAAGCCTGAGGACCAGCAGCAGGAAAAAAAAAAAGATAAAAAAGGAAAATGAATTTGTTAGAAGTGAACTTTGGTATGACCCAGCAATCCCACTTGTGGGCATTTACCCAAATGTTCACAAACAAGACTACACTAAAGCTACCAGCACGACTATGTTTATTGCAGCATTATTTACTATAGCTAAGATATGGAACCAGCCCAGATGCCCCTCAGTAGATGAATTGATCAAGAAAATGTGGTATATATACACAATGGAATTCTATGCCTCCATCAGAAAGAATGACATTGCCCCATTTGTTAGGAAATGGAAAGACTTGGAAAAAATTATATTAAGTGAAGTAAGCCAGCCCAAAGAAACATAGGTCCTATGGTTTCCCTTATTTGAAATAACTAGTATATGTCTGAGTGAAGCAGAAAAGGTCAGATAAGTTGATAAGGGAAATGAACCCAAGATATGTATTCAAATGTTTTTTTCTTTCATACTATTGTTTCTAACACATTTATAAGATTATTTCTTTGTTGCTTTGTATGTCCCTCCCCCATGGTATAACCCCTGCTTTCAGTGTATTTGATGTTTATAATTTGTGGAGGGGAAGGGAAAAGAACAAATCGTTTAAATAGGGATACAGGTGGACCCATTGCAACAATGAGATGTACAAGTTGTTATGTTGAAAACGAACTTTACAACTTTGGTGGAAGTGGGGAGGAGGATCGGGTGGGGGAATGGGGAGGGTGGGAAGGGATGGGAAGGGTAAACAAAGGAGGAGGCTACAATGCTTGATAAGAAATGTACTCATCATCTTGGCCTTGTAATTGTAACCCCTCTGTACAGTATTTTCACAATAAAAAAAAAAGAAATGAACTTTGGGAGAAAATCTACACTCTTCTAATGGAAATCTTACACTTATAGATGATGTTTCCTAGGTTGACAAGTTTTAGTATAATTAAACATGTTGCAGACTATTAATTAATCCATGATTCTTATCCATGATCCCCTCTCACCTGATATATCTAGTCTTGTCTCAATTTTAGACAAATGAGCCTTGTTGTCCACAGTAGTCTTTTCTTTGGAATCCTCGTCAATTTTTGAACATTCCTTTTCCACATCAAATCTTAAGTGGAAGAAAAATAAAACTGAAAATACGTTTAATACAAGTAAGGAAATAAAATTTATTGCCAGGCACCCATGGCTCACATCTGTAATCTTAGCTACTCAGGAGGCTGACATTTGAGGATCATGGTTCAAAGCCAGCCCATGCTGGAAAAGCCATGAAACTCTTATCTCAAAAAAAAAAAATACCAGAAAAAAATGGAAGTGGCATTGTGGATCAAGAGGTAGAGTGCTAGCTTTGAGCTGAAGAGCTGAGGGACAGCACCCAGGACCAGAATTCAAGCCCCATGACCAACAAAAAAAAGAAAATTTACTATTGCTATTCTTATATTTGTATAACAGGTTGTATATCTTACTCTTTTATGTGTGTGTGTGTGACAGTACTGAGTTTGAATTCACACTCTAACTCAGCTTACATAGCTAGGGCTCTACAACTTTGAGCCATACCTCCAGACTGGCATTTTGTTGGCTAATTGGAGTTTCTTGGACTTTTTGGTCTGGGCTGGCTTTGACCCATAAACCTCTGAGTCTCAGTTTCTTAAGTAACTAGGATTATAAACATGGCTTGCTTTGGTTATTTTTCAGATAGGGTCTATTCTTTTTGGCCTAGATCATTCTCAGACCATGACGCCTCCTGCCTAGCTGTAATTACCGTGATTAGCCCAAGCTGCAATCCTCCTATCCCTTTCTCCCAAATATCTGAGATTATAGGCATAAACCAGACCACAGGCTCAATATCGCCTAATCTAAAATTCTTGATTAAGAAGTATTTGGGATTTCAGGGGTTTTTTCAGATTTTGGAGTATTTGCATAAACATGAGATACCTTGGGGATGGAACCCAAATTAATATACATAATTTATAGCCGGCACTGGTGGCTCACGCCTGTAATCCTAGCTACTTAGGAGGCTGAGATCTGAGGATCGCGGTGAGACTGTGAGACTCCTATCTCCAATAAACCACCAGAAAACCGGAAGTGGCGCTCGCCTCGAGCTGAAGGACAGCGCCCAGGCCCAGAGTTCAAGCCCCACGACCGACAAAAAAAAAACATAATTTATTTATGTTTTCTATGCCCCTTATACACATAACTTGAACATAACAGTTTAAATAGTCATGTGCATGAAACAAAGTTTGATAGTATGAAATTTGAAATAGTAGGATAAAATCATTTTAGAAGTTTAAGCATTTCAGATTTCTTTTCAGAAAGTTACAGATGTTCAACCTTTATTGTACCTTCGAATATAGTCTCAAAACTTGCATCATAAGTGTGTTTTCCACATCCTTTTTTGTTATTTGCATTCTCTCTTAAGAAAAAATGTAATTAAGTGAGAATTTAAGTATTAATCAGATTCAACCTGCTCCAAACCGTGTCATTAAATTGTGACTAATTTCTCTTCATTTAAAACATTTGTACTTTTTACTTTGGACAAGTATAACAATGATTATTTTTATAAAATAAAAATTTGGTTATTTTTGTCAAATTTCAGTTTTGTAAAATTTTATTTTATAAAAATAACTACTGTTATCCATATATTTACAAAATATATATTTTGACAGGTACTAGTGGCTCATGCCTGTAATCCTAGCTACTCAAGAGGCTGAGATCACAGTTCAAAGCCAGCCGGGGCAGGAAAGTTAGTGATACTTTTATCTCCAATTAACCACCAGAAAACCGGAAGTGGCGCTGTGGCCACAAGTTGTAGAGCCCTAGCCTTGAGCTGAAGAGGTCAGGGACAGCGTCCAAGCCCAGAGTTCAAGCCTCGTGACTGATAAAAAGATGTAGCTGTTTTGTTAAATCAAGATAAAACTTCTTAGATAAACTAGGCATGATGGTACATGCTTATAATACCAGCAATGTGGGAAGTTAAGAAGTGACAGGAGGGCTGGGAAGGTGGCTCAGTGGTAGAGCGCATGTCTTGCATGCCAGAGGCCCTGGGTTCGATTCCTCAGCACCACATAAGCAAAAAGAAAAAAGCCGGAAGTGGCGCTGTGGCTCAAGTGGTAGAGCACTAGCCTTGAGCTGAAAAGGGACAGCGCCCAGGCCCAGAGTTTAGGCCCCATGACCGGACCCAAAAAAACAAACAAAGAAGTGGCAGGATTGTAGTTCAATGAAAGCCGGGCAAGAAAGTAGGAAGACTCCATACCAACAAGCAAGCCAGGTGTGGTAGTACATGCTATAACACTACCTTCTTGAAACACAGTGGTAGGAGAATCAAAGTTTCATGCTGGGCTAGGCAAAATGTTCAAGACCATCTAAAAATTTAAGTGGGGGAGGTGTAGCCTCAGTGATAGGGATCTTCCTTACTAAGTTTGATTCCCTGAGTTCAAACACCAGACCCACTTACTTCCACATAAGTGTTTATACTACTTTTTGTATTTTACTAAAAGCAATTTGGTCCACCTTTTGAGCTCTTGTTCTTGTGCTCTGTTCGCAAACTCAGAGCTGATGCTCTACCACTTGAGCCATGACTCTAGTTCCATATATTTTGTGCCAGTACTGGGTTTATAGTATGTACACTAAAAGTTATCATAGTATTTAATGGTGCAGAATTTTTCAGTAACAAAGATTGTATAAAGGAATATAAAACATACTTATCCCATTCTGAGTAATCCCTTGCAACTTTCTTCTTAGCTGGTCTACTTTTAGAATGTTTTCCCTGAAAGAATAAAAATCATATCTTATAAGATATATTTAATCGAAAATTAGCAGGTTTTACTGTAAATGCAATGTAAACTATTGAGTCAAAATATACAAATGCCAATTGTTCAGAAAATAGATGCCTTTCAGGTTATAACAACTTCAAAACTATAATACAATAATATATAGCAGGTAACAGAAAGGATTTTAAATTTGTAGTTACTTCTGGGGACAGTCCAGAGGTTTTAAAATATATATAGATATATATTTATTTATTCATATATAAAATTTGAAAACTCAGTGTGATTATTAATGAGTTTTTTTTTTGGCCAGTCCTGGGGCTTGAACTCAGGGCCTGGGCACCATCCCTGAGCTCCTTTTGCTCAAGGCTGGCACTCTACCACTTGAACCACAGTACCACTTCTGGCCTTTTCTGTTTATGTGGTACTGAGGCTTCATGCATGCCAGGCAAGCATTCTACCAGTAAGCCACCTTCTCAGCCCAGTGTTTTTTGTTTTTTTTTTAAATAAGAAAGAGAGGGCTGGGAAGGTAGCTCAGTGGTAGAGCACTTGCCTTGCATGCCTGAGGCCCTGGGTTCGATTCTTCAGCACCACATAAGCAAAAAGAAAAAAGCCGGAAGTGGCACTGTGGCTCAAGTGGTAGAGCGCTAGCCTTGAGCTGAAGAGCTGAGGGACAGCGCCCAGGCCCAGAGTTCAGGCAGGCCCCACGACTGGACCCCCCCCCCCAAAGAAAAAAAAGAAAAGAGTACTAAATGAATTCATTCTGTGTGGGTGTGGGTGTGGGTGTGTGGCAGTACTGAGGCCTAAACTCAGGGACTTGGGCTCTTCTTCTTCTTGTACTCTGTTTGCAAACTCAGAGCTGATGCTCTACCACTTGAACGATGCCTCCAGTTCCACATTTTTGTGCCAGTACTAGGGCTTGAACTCAGAGCCTGGGCACTGTCTCTAAGCTTTTTCTCCCAAGGATAGCACTCTCCTACTTTAACCACAGCTCTACTTTTGGCTTTTTGGAAGTTAATTCAAGAAAAGAGTCTCTTGGATTTTCTTGCTAGGCCTGGCTTGGAACAATCCTCAGATCTCAGCCTCCTGCATGAAGCACCAGTATCCAGCATCCAGTTCCTAAGTTTGCTGATTAACTGGAGATGAAGTCCCAAAGACTTTTCTACCAGGGCTGGTTAGAATTACAGGATTGAGCCACTGGCACCCAGCTCCAAATTTGTTTTTTTTTTTTAAAGCTCCAGGCATTAGAGAAACAAGAATAACTACTCTGCAGAATTAGTCACAGCTGTTTTGTTTGCAATGACAGATACCCATCTTGTACTAATTCCATTTAAAAAGAAGAAATCACTAGCTGACAAACAAGCCGAGGTACTGCCAGCTCAAGGGTTTCTTAGGCCCTTCTCCAGCTCCTCTCTCCCAAATCCACATACTCCCTCTGCCTGTGATTTACATCTTCCTTTAGGGCTATTTGCTTTCTCTTGTGGGAGGAGACATGGTCCTGGAAGCCTGCATTACAACCTTACAGGTTTTCTCATCAGAGTGGAAAAAACTGAATTTCTCTTCACCTCCAGTTAGGGAAATCCCAGGGAAGGGCTCTGAGTGGTTTAGAATAAAGTGCTTCCTACTAGGTCCTGCTGGTGAGGGGGTAGAGGAGCAGGTTCTGCACCAGAAGGAAATAGGAAAAATGTACATAAAATCCATTGTTGCTCATAAATAATCTCCCAGAGCAAGTAGTACTTTGTCATGCTAGACATATACTAGGGAAGGGTACCTAAAATTTGCCTATCTATATAGTCTAATGAAAGAGAATAGAGTAGAATTTAGGGTAAAATGTAGTAGGCACTGATTTTTTTTTTTTAACTCGGCCTGGGCGCTGTCCCTCAGCTCTTCATCTCAAGGCTAGCGCTCTACACTTGAGGCACAGCACCACTTCTGGTTTTCTGGTGGTTTATTGGAGATAAGTCTCACGGACTTTCCTGCCTGGGTTGGCTTTTAACTGTGATCGTCAGATCTCAGCCTCCTGAGTAGCTAGGATTTACAGGAGTGAGCCCCCCGAGCCCAGCTTGCACTGATTGTCTTTAAACCATTGAAATGTCTTTGGTGTCATTTAAGTTTGCCAACAGATCACTCGGCAATACTAGTGTTATGGTTTGAAGCTCCTGGTTTTCATCTTGTTTTTGGTGCAGTCCTGAGGCTTGAACTCAGAGCCTGGACACTGTCCGGCTTCTGGTTTGAATGTTTGGTTCCCAACTGGTGGCCCAATTTTGGAGGGCTCTTGAAACTTTAGGAGGTCAAAACTCCTTGGAGGAAATAGGTCACTGGGGGTGGATCCCTTGGGACATCCACCTACTGGGGTCCCTTCCTGTCCTTCTCTGCTTCCTGGCTGCCATGAAGTTAATGGCCTCTGCAATGTGCTTCTTATGTTAGTGATGCAGTGTCTCACTACACTGACTGTGGACTGAAGCCTTGGAAACTGTGAGCCAAGATCAGTAATTCCCTCTTTCAGTTGTTTATGTCAGGCCTTCTGTCACAGTAATATAACTAACTCAACTAGCAACTCTAGAAGGCATACAGGAGTACTGTGCACTCCTTATTGCTCCCTAGGTAGTCTTCCATGCTTGCACTCTTCTTCTTGCTTAGAAAGACAGGTTCTCAATGCTAAGACTGTGGTTTGGGTTGAATGTGTTTTCTAAAAAGATATAGGGAATTCTTAATTCTTGATATCCATGAATGAAACCCCATTGGGAATAGAATCTGTGTAGAAGTAAACAAGGTAAGGTCATTAGAATGGGCCTTTGTCTAATATGACTGACATTCTTATATAAAAAAGGGAGAAAAGTCTGGCACTTGGGAAGACATGGGTAGAGGCTGGAGTTAGACTACCACAAGTCAAGGAATGCTTGGCACTTCTAGAAATGAAAGAATAAAGAGGGATACTCCCCTCAGGTTCCCAAGGGATTATCACCTTGACAATCCCTTAAATTCAGGACACGTGGCCTCCAGCACAGGGAAAGAATACCTTTCTCTTGTCTTAAGCCTACCAGTTTGTGTACCTTTTGTTAGTAGCCCCAGAAAACCATATAGGTGGTACAACTTAGTTTTAAAAGGTACTAATTAGGGCTGGGAAGGTGGCTCAGTGGTAGAGCGCTTACCTTGCATGCATGAGGCCCTGGGTTCGATTCCTCAGCACCACATAAGCAAAAAGAAAAAAGCCGGAAGTGGCTCTGTGGCTCAAGTGGTAGAGCACTAGCCTTGAGCTGAAGAGCTGAGGGACAGTGCCTAGGCCCAGAGTTCAGGCCCCACAACCAGACCCAAAAAAATAAAAATAAAAAAATAAAAGGTACTAATTAGGGGTTCAGAGTGGGGCTCAGTGGTAGAGTACTTGCCTTGCATGAATGAATTCCTGAGGTCAATTCCACATAAGCAGAAAAAGCTGGATGTGGCACTGTGGCTCAAGTGGTAAAGCGCTAAGCCTTGAGCTGAAGAGCTGAGGGACAGCACCAAGGCCCAGAGTTCAGGCCCCACGACCAACAACAACAAAAAAGGTACTAATTAAAAATGAGGAATATTTAAATTCATATGTGGCACTCCAATATCTAATTATGACAAAGAATATTCTCTTTGAGTAAGTAAAAAAAAGAAGAATATGAGTTGGTTTGATTGTGGTAATTATCTCACACTGCATGTATATATAACCATCAAGTTAAATATATAATTTGCACTTGTAAATTTAACTCAATAAAGAAATGTTTTTATAAATAAAATGAATGTGCAATAAAAAGTCTCAAGATATGAATGGGGGGGGTTGGGGAAGAAAGGGAAGGGATGGTAGGGGAAAAACAAAGGAGGGGGTAAAAATGCTCACTAGGAAATGTACTTATTACCTTACTCATGTAACTGTAACCCCTCTGTACACTATCTTTACAATAAAATACATATTAAAAAAAGATATGGACGAGGCACACAGAATACACTGATCAATACACCTAGCCCACAGTGCTTTCCTTGAAATAACAAATCATTCTCATTAGTCAATATGGTGCATTCTGTATACTTCCTACTGTGTCATTCAAAACATTAAAAAGATATATTTGTGGGGTTCAATATTTAACAAAGTCAAGATTTTACTATTTCATCGAAATTATTTTTATACATTTTTTTTCTGTTCCTGGGACTTGAAATCAGGGCCTGGGAGTTGATTGTGCTTTTGTGCTTAAGGCTACTATTCTACCACTTGAGCAACAGGTCCACTTCCAACTTTTTTGGTTTCATGGACTCTCCTGCCTAGGCTGGCTTCAGATCATGATTCTCAGGATCTAAGTCTCCAGAGAAATTAGGATTATGGGTGTGAGCCAACAGCACCTGTCTATAGGTACCTAAGAACAAGAAATTTTCCTTGACTTTGAAAACTTTCCATGCATCCCCACAATACCCCTGATCATTGTCCTAATCCACAGCAGACTATGTCAGTGTGGTGCACACTCTTTGGTGTTAGGACATTTTCATACTTCTGAAAAGTGCATTTGCCTATCTGCCCCAATATTCATATATCTGATTATATAATTAAAATGTCATATCCTAACCAGCCCCTTAGCTCTCCAAGTTTTTCAAGTATGCTAATAAAATGATAGGAGGCTGTTCATTTCAAATGATCTTGTTCACTGGGCTCCAATACACCAAAATGGAGTCACTCATTCTTAAGATCCCCATCGCCAAATGGAAAATTAAGTTCTCTGACCTGTGGGGAAATCAGGAGAGTGAAAAAACAGCCCTATCTCCAAACAGAACAATGTGCTGGCAGAAAATGCATGCCCCTTGGCTTTAACTCATATGAGGACAGGAACCTAGTGGTATCCACCTGCTTTTTAGCGTCCCTGCTTTCACTTTAAAACACTTAATATTCTGAGCACCAGTGGGTCATGTCTATAATCCTAGCTACTCAGGAGGCTGAGTTCTGAGGATCATAGTTCTTCAAAGACAGCCTGGACAGGAAAGCCTGTGTGACTCTTATCTCCATTAAAAACTACTCCCAAAAAGCTGGAAGTGGAGCTGTGGCTTAAGTAGTAGAACACTAGCTTTGAACAAAGCCCAGGCCCCAAGTTCAAGGCCTAGTACAACAACTGACACACACAAAAAGACACTTAACATAAGCCAATGATTCTGCCATGCCAGTGGAAGATCTTTCTTGGAGTATTATTCCTTGTTCATTTTTAAGGCACAGACTTAGCCCATTGTGCTCAGCTAATAAATATGAATTAATTGATTATAGCACACCTAGGCAGGAAGCAAGATACTAACTCAAAAATAACCAGCACAGGGGCTGGGACATTGACTCAGTGGTAGAGTGCTTGCCTAGCATGCATGAGGCTCTGGGTTTGATTCCTCAGCACCACATAAGCAGAAAAAAGCCAGAAGTGGTGGTGTGGCTCAAGAGGTAGGGCACTAGCCTTGAGCTGAAGAGCTGAGGGACAGCACCCAAGCCCAGATTTCAAGACCCATGTCCATAAAAAACAAAAACAAAAACAAAAAAACAGCACAAAAGGGGGCTGGAGGAATGACTCAGCAGTATCAAACAGCTTAGCAAACATGAGGCTCTGTGTTCAAATCCCAGTTCAAAACAAAAAGGGAGCCAGGCGCCGGTGGCTCACACCTGTAATCCTAGCTACTCAGGAGGCTGAGATCTGAGGATCAAGGTTCAAAGCCAGCCCGGACAAGGAAAGTCCACGAGACTCTAATCTCCAATAAACCCTAGAAACCTGGAAGTGGAGCTGTGGCTCAAGCGGTAGAGCACTAGCCTTGAGCTGAAGAGTGCAGGGACAGCGCCCAAGCCGAGTTCAAGCCGCACGACTGACAAAAAAACAAAAAACAAAACAAAAAGGGAAAAATCTAGAAATATACTGATGGAAAAATAAAAACAAAACCACAATGCACTAAATACAAAAATGACACCTGTAGGGGCTTGGGAGTATTTATTTACCATTTTTTAATCTGTAAGTACTTAAATTAATCAAATGAAACACATCTTCTGTATCTCAACTGAATATATATGTTTCCTGAAATTTGCGTGCACACTGATGGGGACTTTATGTGCTCATCAAAACTGGTCAGAGTGGAAGAGACTAGATATTAAAAGGAAAAAGGGAAAAGAAGTGAAACCAGGCCTTCAAAGGCTGGTGCTGCTTCATTTCCACCTCCAGGTGATGAGACACAGCTAATTGAAAACATCTGCAGTTCTATTAGAGTACAACACATTGGCTACCCTCATTATACTGAGATATCCCCTTAAAGCCATAGCCACCACCCTCCCCCAACCAACCCCAAACCATATCACAAAGGCCTACTTTGCTGACATGGGGATGGCTATTTGAGCCACGAACTGGAGGTAAATGATCTTCTTCGAAATTGGGATGCAGTTCTGTGTGGTGAGAATGCATTGTATTTTCTTCATTTTTAATGTCCAACATCCAACTCTGAGAAGAATGGAGAAAAAGAAGATAAATACATAGGTTGAAATAACCTAGTGAATAATGAGACAGACTCAAGAAACATCTGTAAATCATACTTTGCTATGAGTGACTTTTGAGGTGACAATTTGATCATGACAGGTAACACTCCACCTACATTATTTTTAACTGGTGCCAGTCTTGGAGCTTGAACTAAGAGCCTGGGTGCTGTCCCTGAGCCTTTTATTTTTTGCTCAAGGCTAGCAGTTTACCACTTGAGCTACAGCTCCATTTCTGACTTTTGTTTGTAGTTAATTGGAGATAAGAGTCATGGACTTCTCTGCCAAGGCTGGCATTGAACCATGTTCCTTAGATCTCGGCTTCCTGAGTAGCTAGGATTATTGGCATGAGTCACTGATGCCCAGCTCCTACTGTTTCTTTTTAGTTGTAGAAAAATACCTATTACATAAAATTTATCTTCCATGATGGTTCATCTGGGTTGTGGATTGGATTCAATGCCTAAGAATTAGTAAAGCACACTTCTGGTGTGCACTCCAGAGCTGGTTAACTAAGGAGGGAATCCTTGCAGAATGTGCATTGAGCCATCCCATAGGATGCAGGCCTGGACAGGCTCACCTCAGAGAAAAGAGGAAACCAGAACTAGAGACATTCTTTCTCCACTTCGGGGCTGCTGTAATATGAGCTGCCACTAGAAATGACTGCAGCTTTTGAATACCTGAGCCAAAATAAATCTTTCCTCCTCTCAGTTTTAGTGGGCATTTTGTCACAGTGAGGAAAGACTAATTAATACACTTTCTGTAGCCATTTTTAGTGTACAATTCAGTGTTGGTAAGCATTTTTATGTTGGCTGGGTAAAATAACTCACACCTGTAATCACAGCTGCTTGGGAGCAAAGGATTAAGAGATTCACAGGTTGAGGCCAACCAAGAGAGCTCTCAACTAATGAGTCAAGTATGGTGGTGCCTGTAATTCTGGCTACATGGGAGACATAGGTAGGAAGGCAGAGGTTGAGGGCAAGCTCCTGCCAAAAATTCAAGATCCCATTAGAAAAATAACTAAATCAATGAAGGACTGTGAATAATGCTAGAATGCTTGCTTAGCAAGTATGAAGCCTGGGGCTGGGAAGGTGGCTTAGTGGTAGAGCACTTGCCTTGCATGCCTGAGGCCCTGGGTTTGATTCCTCAGCACCACATAGGCAAAAAGAAAAAAGCCGGAAGTGGTGCTGTGGCTCAAGTGGTAGAGTGCTAGCCTTGAGCTGAAGAGCTGAGGGACAGCGCCCAGAGTTCAGGCCTCACAACTGGACCCCCCCCCCAAAAAAAAACAAGCAAGTATGAAGCCTGAGTTTAAGCCCCAGTACCATTCACACCCAAAAAATATTCATCATGTTGTTGGCTTATTTTAACTTGTCATGCAATGTCTTATTAATTGCGCCTTTCAGTAAGTTTCCCTGAACTTCCTACCTAGTAAGTGAAAATGCAACTTCCTGGGCACACGAGCATAAAACATTTTAGTTATCTGTTCATTGTCAGTCTCTCGCCTCATACTACAAATTCCCTGGGGGCAAGACTTATGTCTTAACATCATCTTTGCAATTCTGTGTCTGGCATACATTAGGTTCTTAATAATGTTTATTAAACTTAATTATCACAGATACCAAAAAATATTGAGTAAGGTCTCTTCCTCCCTTCCTCCCTCCCTCCTTTCTTCCTTTCCTTCCTTCCTTCTTCCTGCTCTTTCTTTCTCTCCTTTCTTTCCTTCCTTCTTCCTTCCTTTCTTTCTCTTTCTTTTTCTTTTCTTTTCTTCCTATCTCTTTCTTTCCCTCCTCCTTCCTTCCTTTCTTTCTATCTTTCTATACTGGGGTTTGAACTCAGGACTGGGCCCTGTCCCTTAGCTTTTCTACTCAAGGCTGAAGCTCTACCACTTGACTTACTGCTCCACTTCCAGCTGTTTGCTGGTCAATGGGAGATAAGTCTCATGGACTTTTCTGCCCAGCCTATCCCTTCAAACTGAAGAGGTAGTACTACAGGCATGAGCCACTGGCACCTGGCTTTTTTTTTTTTTTATTCTATTATAAACTAGGGATTCTAAAATTTGTCAGACACTTTTATAAGCATGAATTGAGCAATAAGCTATATTACTTGTCCTGTCCATATAGGAAAGATGAATTTTTAAAAATGAGGCAAAGAAGAAAGATATAGGGAGAAAAGGAAAAGAAAGTAGCAAGGGAACAAGAAGAATGATGAAGGAGGAAGAAAGCAGAATGGAAGGTAGAAAAAGGGAAAAGTCAATGAGTTCAAATCATGGTCTTAGACCAAAAAAAAAAAAGAAGATATATAGATAGTAAAGATGCTAAATATCACCAGGCACCAGTGGCTCATGCCTGTAATCTTAGCTAGTCAGGAGGCTGAGATTTGAGAATCGTGGTTCAAATCCAGCCCGGGCAGGAAAGTCTGCAAGACTCTTATCTCCAATAAACCACTCACAAAACCGCAAGTGGTGTGGTGGCTCAAGTGGTAGAGCGCTAGCCTTGAGCTGAAGAGCTGAGGGACAGCACTCAGGCCCAGAGTTCAAACCACACGACTGACCAAAAAAAAAAGATGCTCAATATCATTAGTCACTGGAGATAGACAACTTAAAATCACAGTGAATCAAATCCTAGTACAAAAAAAGATGCCAAGCATAATAGTTTGTGCCAGCAACCTAACTCCTTGGGGGACAGAGATTGAGAGGATCATGGTCAGAGGTCATTCCAGGCAGAAAAATTTGTGAGACTCCATCTCCAATATAACCAGCAAAAATCAGGAATAAAGGTGTGACTCAAGTGGTAGAGCACCAAGCATGCTCGAGTCTCTGAGTTCATAACCCAGCTCCACCAGAAAACAAAGCAATTAATACTTTCTAAGTAATCACCTCTCAGTCCTATATTGAGAAACAAGAAGCCCAGGTATCAGATAAATGTTATTCTCTACCTTTAAATCATTGTCAATTGTTTCCCATTCTTCTTTTGTAAAACTGGATGGTGTTGCTGCAGGTTTATCCTTTCTCAAAGCTCTGCTTCCAGGAGCCAAGCCTGTAAGACGCTTCTCACAAAACTCTGTAAGTTCAGGATAATATCCTTCCTCACCAGACCTTAAAAGATGTTTATAATTTCAGAGTTTACTCCTTATATAGAGCACCCTGAAGGAGCCCCAAAGTTCTATAGAGATCTCAGGGCTACCCAAGGCTGAATGCTGGGCTTCTGGCTCTACTAGCACAATCTCCTTATGTATCTGTTAATCTATGGGGTGACATAATGATGAAAAAATTCACAAAGAAACCAACTTCCTGGGCTGGGAATGAGACTTAGTGGCAGAGTTCTATGGAGCATGCATGAAGCCCTGGGTTCAATTCCTCAGTACCACATAAACAGAAAAGGCTGGAAGTAGTCCTGTGGCTCACATGGTAGAGTGCCAGCCTTGAGCAAAAAGCAGCTCAGGGACAGTGCCCAGGCCCTGAGTTCAAGCTCCAGGACTGGCAAGAAGAACAAAGAAAAGAAGAAAGGAAGAAACCAAATTCTACAATGTTTTCCAAATTGAGCAGGGCAGTAGAGGCTCACACCTGTAATCCTAGCTACTCAGGCGGCTGAGATCTGAGGATTACGATTCAAACCCAGCCTGGGCAGGAAACTCCGTGAGACTCTTATCTCCAATAAACCACTAGAAAACCAGAAGTGGCATTGTGGCTCAAGTGGTAGAGTGATCACCTTGAGCTGAAAAGCTGAGGGACAGCGCCCAAGCCCAGAGTTCAAGCCCCATGACCAATCCAAAAAAAAAAAAAAAAACATTTTCCAAATTGAATAAGTAGCATGTTCTCTCCTATATAACACATATTTATTCATGTTGGACATGAAGCAGTTTTATAAACACATCCTGGAAGTTCAGTATTATAGATAGAGAAAAAATATGGGCTTTATTTTCAACAAGGAGTTTCTGTTCAAAGTTCAATTAAAAAGCGGAGTTGAAACAAATGGCAGAGAAACAATTTAGAAAAATACCCCCCCCAAATTCTATCACTCAAGAAATAGGATCCCTTTTTGGGGGAGCTAAATAGAGGCATCTGGTCTCTTTATTTTTAAGGAAAATAAATTATTTCCCATCCCCGTGTAAGTTTACTCTCAAAATATAAATTCAATTTACAAGTTAAATTTTATACAACAATCCTTAGTCAACACAATATAATTTAATTATGTAAGTTATTGGAACCAACATTACAATTGTGGTTTTTAAGCTCTTCAACTCCTAAGCTTCTCATTTTTTATCAGTCCTTGGCCAAATATTCATGACAATATTCTGCTGGAAAAAAATTAAAGAGGAAAATAATGACAGGGCTTTTCATCTTCCCATCCCAGAAATGATGAGGTTATAATGCCAACTCTGGGACAAAGGACAGGAGGCTAAATAGAGGTGATGAAGGAGAAAAAGGTCTTGATCACCAGGAGAGGGTCAGAGGAAAGAAATACAAGAACTGCTGGGGCCACAGGAATCCTAGTGCTCCTGGAAAGGAAGCCTCATGCTCCACAGGTGCCATCTGCATCAGCGCTCTTTCCCCCAAATGAAAACAGCTCAAGGAACCCAAAAGAGGTGTCTAGTTTGGTACTCTATAGGGCAGTGTTTCTCATTCAAGTGGGTTCCTTCACAGACATAGGCACAGACAGACAGACAGACACACACACACACATACACACACACACACACACACACACACATACACACTGAGACTACCTGCAAACCTAACAATCAGTTGGAGTATTAAAAGCACATTTCTGAGCACACCCCAGATTTCCTGAAGCAAAAATCACAGAAAAATGGCCCTCAAATATGCATTTTTAGCCACCAATATTATACAAATGAATGTATATAATTTATACATCTATTATATAGACATATATAGGATCATAAATTACATACTATTAAATATTAAAATCTATTATATATATGTTTGACATTCACCACTATGGGGCTGTACTTTAGGAAAGCCCTAATTTCTTGCCTTCAGGCCTCCCACCATTCAGACTAGCGAGATAACTAACCTTCCTCCCTGACAACTGCTTTAACAGCTGTTTTACCTGATCCTAGAAAACTGAAGGAAGGGCTGGGAATGTGGCGTGGTGGTGGAGTTCTTGCCTACCATGCATGAAGCCCTGGGTTCAGTTCCACACAGAAAAAGCCAGAAGTGACACTGTGGCTCAAGTGGCAGAGTAAAAAAGAAGCTCAGGGACAGTGCCCAGGCCCTGAGTTCAAACTCCAGAACTGGCCAAAACAAACAAACAAAAAACTGAATGAAGCAGAAAAAATGTCCTCTTGTGTAGTAATTGGTATAAGTTTAATGCTGAAAGTAAACCTAGTCAGACCTCCAAGCTAACCATCGAGTCAAAACTACTCTTTTGGAACCCACTATGGGCAAAAAAATTAGTATTTGAAAATCTCCAAAAGTTCTATTGTTATTTCAACTTTACGAAGTCAACAACAAAATTAAAACAGCCATATTTTAAATGCTTACCTCAGCACACAAAGAATTTTTTCCAAGTGTTTAATGTCTGAACACTTTTCAATATATTTGAAATCCAAGTGTTCAATAGGAATTTTAAATTTTTTTGTTGTTCCAAAGCTCCACAAAGAAGGACAATCTTTGGTAGTCATGGCTGAAATATAGTACAGGAAAACAGATATGAAACTCATCTATACAATAATGTTCAATTAGGATAGTGGAGATCATCTGAGTCAAGTGTTTTTTCCAAGGAGGAAGGCTCATTGTGGACTCGACACTCCCAGATAACAAGTTAACATAGGCAGACATTCCTATTCACACAATCTTCCCTTAAGCAAAGCTACAAGAAAATGACAAAGTAGATTCTGCTGATCCAACTACTTTTTATCTCTTAATGTTGATTTTGAATGACCTTTGACTTTAAATGCTTATTAACATCCCAATCATCCTTTGTAGTTCAGCTCATGTATCTCTTTCCAAGCTTTTCTTTGTTTTTCCATTTCTTGTGACCACTTGCCCTGTCAGTGAACAATTCCCAGGATAATGTTCTAAAGCAATGTGCTCATACCTCATAAAACACCAATTTCAGTTCTTCCTAGATTGAGAGATATTATTTTATTCATCCTCATGATTCCAAGACTAGCTAACATAGTAAGTAGGACTTTGACTTTATACCACTTAAGAAGTATTCGCTGAGTTGCATTAAGAATGAGTCCTTAGACCTTTTTCACTCTGATTACATTGCTATTAATAGTGATAAGAATAATGGCAAATACGTATTTTATTTTAGTTTTGTCGGTGTGGGGCTTGAGGTTGTAGGGCTTGAACTCAGGGCCTGGGTACTGTCCCTGAGCTTCTTTGTGCTCAAGACTAGCATTCTGCCACTTGAGCCACAGAGCCACTCCCAATTTTTGAATGGTTAATTGGAGATAAGAGTCTCATGGAGACTTTCCTGCCTGTGCTGGCTTCACCATGATCCTCATATCTTAGCCTCTAGACTAACTAGGATTATAGGCATGAGCCACCAGTGTCCGGCTACTTATGTGTGCTGGGCATCATTCTAAGTACATGTTGTACTTTACATAACTTAATGCACTTAATTCTTTCAAGTATTATATCAGGTACTGTTTTATGCTAAGAGTAATAATAACAGTTAATATTGATGGAGATAAATTGCCATTCACCGTGATTATTTCAATCCTAAAACTCGCTCTCCAGATTGGCATTAATTACTCCTAGGGTTAAGGGTATGTAAAGCTCACTGGTAGAGTGTTTGCCTAGTATGCACAACACTACAAATAGTAACTTCCTTTTTATAAAAAAGTAAGCTAACTAGTAAACTGAGGATATAACTCTAAGGCTAACTACAAAGTCCATCTATTTTGTCTGTGTGTGTGTGTGTGTGTGTGTGTGCACATGCACGCACACGCGCCAGTCCTGGGGCTTGAACTCAAGATCTGGTCGTTGTCCTTGAGACTTTGTACTCAAGGCTAGTGCTCTACCACTTAAGTCACAGCTCCACTTCCCACCAGAGTCCATCCACTGAACCACCCTTTAGTGTTCTTCAAATTTCAGGTAGCAACTTGTGAATAGCAATTAGCACTGTTTTATAACAAGATAGAATTGAATTTAAACACGACCTGGCATGTACAAGTCTTATAAAGAACTCTTCAATTATTGCCTATAGGAATGGAAATTGTGTGTATAAACACATGGCTACAATGTGAAATGTATTTTATCTTGGGGGCCACTTTTTAAAAACCATCACACTAAAACCTATTCTATGATCATTTTAAAAACAAGAAGCATTAGATCTAATTCACTTAAGTATTCTTTTGGGGGGGGCGGTCAGGTCGTGGGGCCTGAACTCTGGGCCTGGGCGCTGTCCCTCAGCTCTCAGCTCAAGGCTAGCGCTCTACCACTTGAGCCACAGTGCCACTTCCGGCTTTTTTCTTTTTGCTTATGTGGTGCTGAGGAATCGAACCCAGGGCCTCTGGCATGCAAGGCAAGCGCTCTACCACTGAGCCATCTTCCCAGCCCTTAAGTATTTCTTTCAGTATCACTGCCCTCTGAGTGCCTGAGTATATAATCTGTGCAGAGGATACTCTGTCAGCTTTCCCTCCATATTTCTGCTGAGTTTGACAAGCAAGGGGCATAGAATAAAAATGACAGTTCTTTGGCTTTGAGATGATATCTAACCAAAAAATTAGATTGTGGTGTTCTCACCATGCCTGCAGGTCCCAGAACAATCAATAGCTCTCAACACAGGATAATCTGAAGAGGGTAAATTACAGGAAAGAGGGGTGAGGTGTGGCTCCAGAAGGAAGTGCTTAAGCACAAGTCCCTGCGATCAGATCAAACCTCCAGCCACTACCACCACCACCACTGAAAAACTTTACATTTTTTACACTGTGGAAAAAAGAATGAGTCGCCTTGGGAAGACATTTTCCAAAGAATTAGAGAACTTTTGTGGGGCAGAATTGAGCAACTGGCAGTACTAAAACAGGTTACTGTAAACTGAAACTTACCTTGCCGTTATTGAGAATTTGATTTGCATAAAGCATAATTCAGAATATGAAATTAATATATAAATAAATTAAGAACATTTCTTACCTAATCAAACGATATTCATTCTGAATACTGCTCAGAGAATCCATTTTGCGAACTACTTTTTTTTGGGGGGGGGTCCGGTCGTGGGGCCTGAACTCTGGGTCTGGGCACTGTCCCTCAGCTCTTCAGCTCAAGGCTAGCACTCTACCACTTGAGTCACAGCGCCACTTCTAGCTTTTTTTTTTTTTTTTGCTTATGTGGTGCTGAGGAATCGAACCCAGGACCTCATGCATGCATGGCAAGCGCTCTACCACTGAGCCACCTTCCCAGCCCCAATGAACTACTTTTTTATTTTGCATACACACTCTCAAGATTTACTAAATGTTAATTAGCAAGTTCCAAGAAGATAGACTTCTTTTGCTCTCTTAAGGACTCTTCTTTGTCTCTGATTAGGAAAATGTTTAGTCTTCACTGTATTTTTCTCAATCATCCTGACCCACATCCACTTTCCGATATCTCCTAATCAGCTTATCAGTAATACTTTCAGTGGAAGCTACCATGGACCTGAAAACAACGTGAAAAACAGGGGCTTCTCCATCGTGGCACCTTCTTAACAGCATCCACAGGGCCGAGCGCCCTCTGCAGCCCGAAAGGAAATGGCATCCTCCAGCATGGCAACGGTTACTATGTACAGCACGACCCGGGAGGACCGCTCGGCTAAGGACTGGCTCAGAAGCTCTACAAGCCAGTTTGCTGCAACTGCCACTCTTCAGACACAGGATTTGGCCAGCAGGGCTGGTGCCTCTGGCTGACCCCGCCCCAACTTCCAGCAGTCCCGGGCCATGGCATTTTCTCTCCACCAACACCCGTGTGTTTCCCCAGATCACCAGGAAAGCTGTTCATCCCTTAGCATGCCCCTTCTCATTCCAGTGCTTCTCCGCCTCTGCCGTTCGCCCCTTCTCCCACAGGGATGGTAATGAAGGCACGCTGCCTCAGGCGGGCAGGCACACACCAGCACTTACCTGGTGCTCGGATCCCCACCAGGAGGAGGGCTCAGTGTGTGGGCAGGCAGAAGGGCGAGTCACCCCAGCCCATGAGGGCGGAGCTAGGCACTCTGCAGCGTGATTGGCTAACCTCCACCTGCCAAACCGATGATTGGCCCCATCTTCCCTGCCCTCACCCGGACAAAGGACCAGATGATTAGAATTGAAGGGTGTAGATTCTGTCCCTACCTTTGAGTTTTAGAGTAGATTAAAAGACTGTTGTTTCCTCCTCCCTCCTCCCTCCTCTCTCCTCCTCCTGCTATCGTGAGGCTTGAACTCAGGCTGAGTTTTTGTACTCAAAGCTACTTCTCTACCACTTTGAACCACAACACCACTTCCGGCTTTCCGGTAGTTAATTGGAGATGAGAGTCTCAGACTTTCCTGCCCTAGGCTGGCTTTGAACCATGATTCTCAGCTATCAGCCTCTTGAGTAGCTATGATTACAGGCGTGAGCCTTTGCCCCCCCCCCCCCCCCAGCCCTTCCTCTTCAAATAAATGAAACAAGTTTCCCTCTTCTTTTATATCCATCCCACATTTTCTAGATGCTGGTTATGATCCAAATACTCCACTGTGTTGGAGATACAAAAGTGAATGAGATAAACCTAAGTGAGATAAGACACTATGGCTCATTTATGAACACATTAATTTTAGATCAGTTTCATATTCCATTTCTTAAATGGAGAATAAGCAAAGCAAGCTTTGAGCAAGTTTACATGTAATACTACTTTTACATGGTTAACAGTCCAGCAAATTCTTTCTCTTCTCCTTTTGCACTTATAGCTCTACAGTCTGTTTTCAGGAACTGCTGGTGATAAAAATTCTAATGCTCAATTTACAGTACTATCTCCACTGACAGTGCTAAAAAACACTGAACTTGAATGTTCACATGCATAAGATTCACACTTTAGGCTAACTAAATTCCATGTTATGGGGAAACAGTCGTCACATCTCACTCCAGCTAGCAAACTCCAACATTATGCCCTAAATTGCAAACATTTAGCCATTGTAACTTTTCATTGTATCTCCAGTAAAGAAACCTTTTAACTATGGGGAATGGTAGTAATTCTACATGCCTTCTAATTTTATTTTTACTCAGTTTTCTTCTGGTTATAAGTGTATACATTTATATTGAACAAACGGGATAAAATAACTTGAAGGAAATGTTGTAGGGAAGTGAAATTTACCACTAGATAAAATACTGCACCCAAAAATTAACACCCTCATATATATATATAATTATATTACAAATGTATATATATGTAAGCATATATAATATGTAAATACTTCCCATGCTCTTTCACAGCTGCTACCGTCCTGGCCCAGCCATTGGTTCAGATGACCCCCAAGTGTTTTCTCTGCTATCATCTGTCCATTTACATACAGTTCTCAAACAGCCTGAATGACTTTTTTTTTTTGTCAGTTGTGGGGCTTGAACTCTGGACCTGGGCTGTGTCCCTCAGCTCTTCAGCTCAAGGCTAGAGCTCTAGCAATTGAGCCACAGTACCACTTCCAGTTTTCTGAGTGATTAATTGGAGTTAAGACTCAGACTTTCCTGCCTGGGCTGGTTTTGAACTGTGATCCTCAGATCCCAGCCTCCTGAGTAGCTAGGATTACAGGCGTGAGCCACCATACCTGGCTCAGCCTGAATAACTTTTTAAGTCTTTAAATCTTGTTACTCTCCTGCTTACTGTCCAATCATCCTACAAGTGAGCTAGCCACTTCCAACTACCTCACCATTCATAAGCTTCATTCTGAAATGGAATTAAGTTCACATTCTACTCGGTTCCCCTATTACTAGCTCCTTCTCATCAGTCAACAATGATCGAGTATCCACTCCACTTTAACTTATTTGGTACACAGAAGTTATTTCAGAAGAGAGGATGTATGTATACCTGTACATGCCACACATCAACTTGTTTTAACACCTCGGTCATTTTAATACCCTCTCAGTCCTCTATACTATCAGTTCTGGTTTCCTTTATTTTTCCATAAGTTTACACTAATAGCAACTACAATGGTATACTTTGTACAAAATAATGCTAGAGAGTTGACAAACAGTTGTGGACACAAACTTTGGAAGTTTCTAGAAACATGAGTTTTAAACAAGACTTTGATGAAAAGTTTGGCTTGAGGAAATAATTTTAATTTTCATTGTGAGTCAGACACGCAAGTCATATAATTGAACAAATTCTTTATACAAAGAAAGTATTGATATCTAAATACAATCTTGTTTTTAACATGAAATAAAATCATATGTACAGTTTCATACTCATAAGGAAAGTGTACTAACTTAAGTTATACAACAATAAGAATTATTAATGGAGCAAAGTCAAGTAAAATGAAGATACTCCTGTATTTCCATAATTCACCGAGCATCAAATACCACCACTGTTAAATTGAGTTAAGGACAAAAAAAGCACTTAAAATTATATAAAATTTATGTTTTCTGAGTCACTTTCTAATAAGTCATTCTGTTAATACAAAATGAACAAAAAAATGGAACTCACTATGACAATTGGAGATTATCTAAAAAATACACAACTTTAATTTTTACTACAATCTCGTCTGTGACACAAAAGATCAATGCTCAAAACACATTTGAAAAGGTTTGGGAGGGATGGGGGAGAACGATGAAAGGAGAGACATCAACCAAGAAGCATGGTATTCATCAACTCACTTGTTGAGTAGTAACTCCTTTGTAAAAAAATATTGAAGTCACATTAAAGATGATAATTTGTTGAGTTTTAAGAATTTGTTAGTTACAATGGAACAATATATTCTTGGTGTTTGCTACATTTTCCATTAGGTAGTGTATATAATATTTGTATTTCTCCTATAATTTAGTCTTTCATGAGCAGAAGATAAGAAAATCAAGCACAGGGGCTGGGAATGTGGCTTAGTGGTAGAATACTTGCCTAGCATGCGTGAAGCTCTGGGTTCAATTCCTCAGCATCACATAAACAGAAAAAGCTGGAAGTGACACGTGGCTCAAGTGGTAAGAGTGCTACCCTTGAACAAAAGAAACTCAGGGACAGTGACCAGGCCCTGAGTTCAAGCCCAGAACTGGCCAAAAAACAAACAGGAAGTACATCCATAAATACAGAATCTCTGAAAGTGTTTTGTTCTTTTTGCCAGCCCTGGGGTTTGAACTCAGTGCCTGAGCCGTGTCCCTAACCTTCATTTTGCTCAAGGTTAGCATTCTACCACTGGAGGCACAGCTCCACCTTTGGATTTTTGTTTTAGTAGTGTTCACTGGTGATAAGTTTCATGGATATTCCTGCCCAGGCTGGCTTTGAACCCTGATCTTCAGATCTCAACCTTTTGAGTAGCTAGGATTGCAGATGTGAGCCACCAGTGCTCACCTGAAAAATAGAAATCCCAAATCAACAAATGTTTAAATTACGGCAAGACAACACACTGGTACATGAAAACACTGATTATATTTCTTCTTTCAAAGGCAGGTAAAATTAATCAGCAAATAAAGCTCCAACTGGAGGCACGGCTTAAATGGGAGAGCACCAACTGTGAACAAATGAGCCTACCAAGAGCACAGGGCCCTGAGTTTAAGCCCCAGTACTGACATTAAACAAAAGTGTAATCCAGGGCTGTGGTCAGGGCCCAGGTGGAAGAATGCCTGTCTACTTCCAGGCCTTGGGTTCAAACCCCAGTATTGGCAAAAAATATATTTTTTTAAATCCAAGTCATTATTTTTTCAGGACTTTGTACCAACCCAAATGTTATGCTTCATTTCCCCCTCATATTTATAAAGAATAGTAAAAGGATACATCTTTTAGTCCTTTTCTTGTACATTATTCTGTATCCACATTCTCTGCATCTGATTGGATCTCTGGATTTTATTTCACTTTCTGTGTGACACTCTAGAAAAGAAAACACAGTTTTTTCAATGCCTAATAGGAAAATTACTTTAGCCGTATTAATTCAAGGTAACCCAAAGCACTAAAATGTACTCCATCTCTAGGATAGTCTAGTATTAAATGTAAACAGTACAGAACAAAAATTGTGAGCAGTGTACTTTTTCAAGATCAAAGAAAAGTGAAATTTAAACGAGCTTTTTTAAAGAATGCTGAAGTAATTCTGTCTCATAAATTGGCAGATCAGTGCTAATTGAAGGAACTTACACGCAATGATTTCCAAAAGCTTACGTAAAACGCTCTGGCTTTACGGGCTACTCTTACCTCCGCAGATATAGATCATGGGCTGCTGCTTCGGGGGCTGAACGTCCTTCTGGGTGTCCATTGCTAGGCCCTGAAATCAGACTCAAATACTCAGTATTTCAAAGCGGCTTTCTCACAAAACCAGAGGCAATCTTAACCCCAAGTCTTTCCTAGTTATGACCAAAATATCCGGCTAACATCTCAAGTGTCAACGCCCCCACGTACGCAGCGCAAGGAGAACTTCAGGCCGCCAAGCGCAGAGACACTTGAAGTTGGCCGATCCCCAGCCCCGTCGCGGCGTGGCAACCGTGGCTAAGGACTTCCGGTGCGGACGTATGACGCACAACCCATATCCCCGCCCCTTCCGCCTGGTGTGTTTCCTCTCCTCCCGTACCCCCGACCCCAACTCCGTATTAAGCAAAGCGATAGATCTGGTTCCTGTAATCCTAGTCCAGAGGCTGAGATTTGAGGATCGCGGTTCGTAGCCAGCCCGCGCCAGGGAAGTCCGCGAGACCTTATCTGCAATTAACCACAAAAAAGGGCGGGAACTGGAGCTGTGGCTCAAAAGGTAGAGCACTAGCCTTGAGGAAGTTAAACAAAAACAAACTCAAAGACAGAATGCAGGCTCTTAGTTCAAGCGCAAGAATCAGCACCAAAAAAAAAAAGTGAAAATGAGTTAGAATGAGAGGAGAGAGGGAGAGCGCGGGGGGGGGGAGAGTTGGGGAGGAGGATGAATGAATGAATGAATGAATAACAAGAATGAATATCCAAGAATGAGAACTGAAGCAGAGGTGACCAGTGGAAACCTGAACTAACAGCTGCTTAGACTGCATCGAACAATCCACATAGAAAACACCTTATACTTTATGCTTTTCCAATTATTTGATGCCTGTACTGGGCAGTGCAGCAACTCCTGTCCCCTAAGTTGTTTTTTTTGTTTGTTTGTTTGTAGCCTTTTCTCCCCAGGCTCTTGTCATCTTTCTCTTCCACTCCTTTTATTCATCTTAAAACAAAGGCAGCCTCACCCATTATTCCTACCCACTTCAGGGACTTGGGTAACTCTCCCTTTCCTCCTGTCCTCCCTTTGTCCCTTGTATTCAGCCTTAAAAGAACAAAATGACCTGTTCCTTACAGATAGACTCTTCCAAAGATCAAAATTTCAAGGTGGGTCAGAACATTCTACATTGCCATCTTTCACAACAGACACTTTACTCACACTAGAATGAGGGTAGAAAAAAATGTATTCAAATAAAAATTCATTTTCTTTTTTATTAAGTTCTATGAGTTACACAGGTGGTAAGTCTTTAATAAGTATTATAAATTTAAATCAAAGATGCAGGATTGATTTACAGGTATTGTGCCTTTCTAAGCAGCTTTAATTTCCAGTTCCCCATCTGCCCCTGTAGTATTCTGAGCTTCACCTTTCATTTCCAGGAGTTCAAACTGAAGTCGACTCTCCACAGACTAGCTTGAAAGATTTAACTTAATCTTTTCAGTCTTCCTAAAAACCAATTAAAAAATTTCCAAGACTGTGGGTGTAGCTCCAGTAGTAGAACTGGCCTAGGGGGGAATTAATATAAAAAGAATTATCCAGAGAAACAGTAGTTTCTTGTTTCTTCCACCATACACAGGATAAAATAACACACATATTTTGTCTATTAGTCCTGTTACAAAGTACCTTTTCTCTCAAATAAAGAAAATCGAGTAATTCAAGAGGCACAATAGGTTTATCTACAAGAAATGTCTTAGATTAAAAAATCATAGTGGCACTGTGGCTCAAGTGGTAGAGCGCTTGCCTTGAGCTGTAGTGTAAGGATAGTGCCCAGAACCAGAGTTCAAGCCCCACAACCAGAAAAAAAAAATCCTTGTAGCCTGAGCTTTAGTGGCTCAAATCTGCAACCCAAACTAATCAGGAGGCTGGGACTTGGAGGATTTCATTTTGAGCCAGCCCTGTCAGAAAGGTCCACAAAACTACATATCCAATTAATCAGCAAAATGCTGCACTAGAGGTGTGGCTCAAGGGATAGAGCACCAGCTATGAGTAAGAAAGTTATTTAAAAGCTTGAGCTCCAAGCTGTTTTAACTATAACTAATTAAAACTCTTCTTAATGAGCCAGACTCTGCTCTTGCATATTTTTGAGTTTGAAACTCCATGTTGCCTGCCTTTTAAATTTTGCTTCTTTACTATTAAAACCTACTTCATAGTCTGGTCATTAGGAATTTGGTAGCTTTAGTTGGTCCCTCTTCTTCTCCGGTAGCATTAATTGGTCCCGCTTCTTTTGTGTCACAGCTGTTCTGTTGTAACATTTGTTACTGTACAACAAGCCTTTACCAGAGTTACGGTGTCATACTCATCTATGTATTCCCAGTATCTAGCCAAGTAATTAGCATGTGTTTTGAGCTTAACTTCAAGTTTGAGTTTGAATACATTGAATTTAATATATTGACTACCCACGTAGAAAAATGTCCTCAGAGGAGAGTGGTGGTAGTGGTTGTCACTGGTTTAAAAGCAATCATTCAGGTTCTGAATCACGTAAGAAAGTGGTGAGATGGGATATTTTGTTTAAAGAGAATGAGTAGAAAGAGCGGCTCTATAAGAAGACCAGGAAGAAGCCATCAGGCCAGTACGACTGTGTCTGACATATAATTTGAGCCCATCAAATGTTTTGGGGGCCTGGGATGTAGCTCAGTGGCAAAGCGCTTGCCTAGCAAGTGCAACGACCTGAGTTCGATCCCCAGTACCAAAAAAGAAAAGACAAAAATAAAGTTAAAAAAAACCTAAACAAATGTTTTGGGATGAAAATTAGTATTAAAATGATGCCATTTGGCTGTGAAGTCACTGGGTGTTTGTGGTGCCTAAGAAGGGATGTTTGTAAACCATAAAGACATGCCATTCTTGCTTATTCCTAACTTTTTTTCTAATTACAAGATCTATATACTCATTTTTAGAAACACGAAAATACAACAAGACACTAAGTAGCAAGCACCCCTTTGTCCAAGCCATTCATTCATCCCTTGCAGTTTATACCCTGTGTGTATGTGTACCTTTAACCTGAGACTTGCTCTTACACCTGAAAACTTTGGAAAGTGACTAAACCACCCAATAATAGTTCTCAGAATGGCATGCCCAGTGCAGGACACATTCGCCTTTAAAAACAGCTTCCAAAGTGAGTTTGGGGGTGGAAGCGCTCCAGGGAGGCTCCTGCAGAACCGCCGCAGTGAGCCAGAGAGCCGGGGGCGGGACCTTCCGGGAGGCGGAGAAGAGGCGGAGCAAAAGGGCAGAAAGGGACCCGCAGGAAGGCGGGGCCTTTCCGGAAGGCGGAGAAGGGGTGGGGCCAAAAGCCAGCAAAGGAGCGCGATAGGAAGCCGGGCCTTTCCGGAAGGCGGGATGAGGGGCGGGCCCTTCAGCACGGGGGCGGAGCTAGCGGAGCTTCCACGCCGGGGTTGCTCCGGCGGGCCGTTCAAACCGAAGGAAGGGAGAGGCGGCGTCCTCACGTGAGGGTGGCGTGGGGGTTGCCTCAGCCCGCACCCCCAGGGGGCGAGGCGGGACTCCGCTGGCGGGCTTAGCTGCGGTCGCCAATCCCCCGCGGGCTCCGCCGTCTTGCCCCCCACCCACCCCCACCGGCCTCCAGGTGGGCAGGAGCTGGGCCCCAGGTGCGGCCCACCAGGCGGCCCGAGGCGCGTCTCCAGTCCCCACCACCCAGCCCTGCGTTTCCGGCTCCCGGAGCTTCGGTCTGACCCCGGCTCAGGAAGGTGCGGGAGGCCGCGCGGGCGGCGACGCACCGGAGAAACCGTTACTCGCCCGCCCACCTGGGGGGGGGCGCTCAGCTCCCACCGCGTCCTCACTCCCGGGTAGGGGAAGGGCACCCATTTCTAAGACTACCTGCGGAAAACCAGGATGAGAAGAGCCCTGCTGTCCGTAGAGCTGGAGGAAATGTGAAAAACGGTTCAGGCCTTGGCCAAGTGTGGGGATTAACCCAGCCTTAAAGTGACTTCTGCTCAGTTTTAGCGCCCGCTGTGGTCGATCGAACGGTTTTCTCCAAGAGGTGTTTCTTTGGCATGGCTTTAAAAAAGTAAAGATGAGTTTCTTATTTGGAAGCCAACCTAACTTTGACAATTAAGAGCTCAAGATTTACTGGTGGTAAGATTTTTTTTCCGTTTTAGCAAAGAATATTTGATTTTTCACGTAGTTGTAAAAAGTACTTCATACTCTTGAGTTTATAAAAGCCCTTGGAGATAGGCTGAGCCCTCCATTCGGAGGCCTGGTTTTAAAAAAAATGACATCAAAAAAGCTCGTTTGGTCCCGAAAATTAAGTTAATGGGCCTTTTATGATTTTTAGTGAATACTTTCAAACCTAAATCTTGAAGAATAAGTTTTCAGCCAGATGTCCTGAGGTAGTGGAAAGATGAAAATGAGGCCGGCAGAGAAAACTTTTTCTTTTCTTTTTGGAGAAAGTAATGTTACAATGCCACTCCATTTTCCAAATCTTAGCATGGTGAGACACCTAGTGGTAAAGTAACAGAATAACATGTTAAGACGTCTAATTTTACTAAATGGAGTGAAAACTGTTACTTAACAAAAGAATCCTAAGGATTAAAGATTAATAGGTGAAGATGCCATTTAAAGACACATTAGGAAGTAGAGCTGTGGCAAAATGTGGTAGAGCACTAACCCTGGGCAAAAAAGCTTAGGAAAAGCGCCAAAGCCCTGAATTCAAGCCCAGCTACTGACAACTTTTTAAAAGACATTATATGATTGTTTGGAAGACAAAAATGTTTTCAAACGTGAAATTTGTTGAAAGTTTGATAATCTTCACTCCTAAGCAGGTGCAGTGAACATATGAGACATATCAAAAGGGAGTACAGTGGGGCTGGGAATGTGGCTTAGTGGTAGAGTATTTGCTTAGGATGCATGAAGCCCTGGGTTCAGTTACTCAGTACCACATAAACAGATAAAGACAGAAGTGGTGCTGTGGCTCAAGAGGTAGACTGCTAGCCTTGAGCAAAAGAATTTGTTCAGGAAAGTGTCCGGATTAAGTTCAAGCCCCAGGACTGGCAAGCAAAAAAAAAAAAATAAGGAGTACAGGTTTGGTGCTAAACCAGAACAATGGTTCATACCTGTAATCTAGCTACTCAGGAGGAACAGATCTAGATGACTGAAGTTCAGTTACTTTGGGCACAAAGTTAATGATATTCCTCTCTCAACCACCAGTAAGTTGGATGTAGTGATGTGTGTCTGACATCCTGACTACAAGGGAAGTGTGCATAATACTGAGTTCCAGAGAAGCCTGGGCAAAATCATGAGACCCTATCTGAAAATTAACTACAAGCAAAAGGAGCTGGGGGTGTGGCTCCAGTGGTAATGCAAGACCTTGAGTTCAAATCCTAATTACACCAAAAATAATAAATGAATAAACAAGTGATTAGATCTTTTCTCAGTATGATGTTCTAGTAAGTAATCACTATATTTTACCATCTTTGTGTTTAGTATAGCAATTTGCTTTTGTACCATGCATATTCAGTCATTTAACTGATATAACATAGACATATGTAGATTATATTTCTATCCCATTAAAGTCATCTAAAATTTATCTTCCTAAGATCCTTTCTTTTTAAGGGGGGAGAGGCTGAACTTAGGCCTTGTACTTGTTAGGCAGACACTCTACTTCAGCTATGTCCCAGACCTTTTTGCTTTATTTTGTGAATAGCATGTTGTTATTTTGCTTAGATAGACCTAGGCCGAGATCCTCTTATTTATGCTTCCTACATAGCTGAGATGGCAGACAAAAACCATTTCTCTAGAACTTTTTACTCTGGTTAGCCTGGAAGTGCAGTCCTAATGTCTGCCTTCCAGGTAGCCCCACCCATAGAATGTTTTTATACAGAAAAATTGTGCTTTTTGTCTGGAGAAAGTTTTGAAGGAATCATAATTCTCTTAGTATCCTTTGAGTAGTTGAGAGAATTATAAAAAAGAACATTAACTCTTTTTGTTTGTTTGTTTTTGTTTTTTGGGTCCGGTCGTGGGGCCTGAACTCTGGGCCTGGGTGCTGTCCCTCAGCTCTTCAGCTCAAGGCTAGCACTCTACCACTTGAGCCACATATGGCTTTTTTCTTTTTACTTATGTGGTGCTGAGGAATTGAACCCAGGGCCTCATGCATGCAAGGCAAGTGCTGTACCACTGAGCCATCTTCCCAGCCTCATTAACTCTTTTATATTGACTTCCTTTGAGTTAAGATTCAACTCAAAAGCCAGACATGATAGTGCACAATGTAATCCCAACAAAAAATGAAAACATTTAGGCATGATGCTTGGCTTGTGGTTACTTAGGTAATCTAAATATTTAGAATTAAAAATTTTGATTTTTGTATCAATAAATTATTTGAAATAGGATGCATATCAGTCTGTTGCTTTTTATATTTATATTTGCTTTTAAAGTAACTTTAAAATCATACAAGTTTCCATCAAATAATGTATTTTGGCATAAGGTACCTGATTATTCATTTCAAAGGAAGAACACATTTGTTTTCACATCCTAGAAACAGAGAGTTTGAAGATGTTACAGAGGCATTCAAGTCAAGATATCCCTGGATCAGGAGGTAAAGTAGACTCTCCTACTGTCACCATCAAGTGCTCCCGCCTTGAAGAACTTTCTACATCTTCCTTCCACGATAGTGGCCATCATGAGTTGTTAAAATCATACAGTTTTAATAATACATTATTTATTGAAAAGAAAGAAGAAGACCCAACCTTAATCCATGAGCAACTCAAAACTTCAATCCTAGGCTTAACAAATCCCTTTGAATCTCCCACTCAAAGAAAGAAATTTGTCTTCCCTAAGAAGGAAAAGGATACAACTCCAGAACTTTGTGAGACTCCTAAAGTCAGTGGGAAAAAATGTTTACTCCGGAGAAGATTGGATGTATCTTTCTCTCTTCTAAAGGGGAAATTTGGATCACAAAACAGTTCTGTAGAAAGTAGTGTAAGTCAAGGTCTCAACTTAGAAAGATATATTCCCAGCAGTGATTTTAGTTTTCCAAGGCAAAGTAATTTTAGCCCATTAGTCACTAGCACTATAAAGACAGAAGAAGTGACTTCTAGCAGTCAGAATTTAAGACTAAATTTTTCTCAGCATAAGACTTCCACAATTGATGGTTCCAAAGATGATTGTGGCCTATTTGAAGCTGAGTGTATATCTCCCATTCAGGGCAATGATTTTAAAGATTCTATCACACATGACTTTAGTGATAGCAGTCTAAGTGTTAATGATGAAAATGTGCATCCTGAACTTCTGAGCTCCTCTGGTGGTAAAACAACTTTTGAGACAGATGGGAACATATTTGTGACTCCGGTAAATAATCTTGCAAAAAACATTAACTTTAATGCAAGTCAGACTGAAGCAAGGAACAATATTTCAACACCTGAAGACAGTGGTTTTAATTCACTTAGTTTGGATAAGTCAGAAGATTCCCTGTCTGACCAGGAGGGCTCGTTTCAAGAACTACTTCAGAGGCATAAGGGAACTCTTAAATTAGGGGACACTATAAGAAAATCAAGATGTCTTGGGAGATCAAGAAGACTATCTACTCTCCGGGAGCAAGGATCCCAGTCAGAGACAGAAGAGGAAAAGCAGGTCATCCACTCCACATCTGAAGCGAGACCTGTGGCTGCTTCAAACACCTCAGAGCATCAGCTGAGCAATGACAATAAGAGTGGGGATTTGACTTTCACCTTTAAGAATCTGTCAAATACTCCAGCCTTGCAATTAGTGCAAGAGCTCTTTATGAAAAGCAAAAGGAAAAGATTTCAGCAAGTGGATGACTGTGGATTCTTAGAAGAAAGGAATGAGGGGAAGATAGCTGTATTGCAATGTGTTCTTGCAGGACTAATTGGCAAGAAGATGGGTATAGAACAATTGGATATCTTAACTGAATTGAAATATAGAAACCTAAAGCATGTTCTTTCTATGGTTTTAGATTCCTTGACTCCAGAGAGCTTATACAGGTAAGAAATTGATGTTTCTTGTGGAAAAAGTTTACTTAAAAAAATCATTTTCTAAGTTGAAAAGTTTTTCTTTGACTTGAGTGATTGCCTCTGCTTTTTGTTTGTTTTTATTATTTTTGTCTTTTGTTGTCTGACACTATATATAAAAGAGTATTTAAATGATCTTCCTGATAAAGTTTGATAGTGTACTTGTTTAAAAACAAGTGTACTTCTTTAGAAACAACAGAATTGGTCTGGAAATGTGGCTTAGTGGTAGAGTGATTGCCTAGCATGCATGAAGCCCTGAGTTCGATTCCTCAGTACCACCTAAACAGAAAAAGCCAGAAGTGGAGTGTGCTCAAGTGGTAGAGTGCTAACCTTGAGCAAAAGAAACTCAGGGACAGTGCCCAGGTCCTGAGTTCAAACCTAGGACTGGCAAAAAAAAGTAAAAAAAAGAGAAAAAGAAACAACAATATTGTCTTTTTCTGGACGAAACTCTTATTACTCTCTTTTGGAAAAAGTTTCTAAGTGGTGCACTTTACATTTTCAAGAAGGTAAACTTTTTTTCCATAAGCTATGTAATGATTCATTTGAGTGCTCACATTCTGTTGTTGGGTACAAAGTGAATTAAAGTTAGCATACTTGGTCAGAAAAAGTAGAAGCACAGTGGTTACTAAGAAGTGACTTCATATAATGAATACTATTAGTTAATACAAGTTCTAGAATCCAAGAAAAAAGGTTGGTTCTTGTTTTAGGGTTTGGTCTTTCCAGAGATGAAAGAAATAAATTGGTTTTATTGCTAACACAGCAGAAAAATGCAATTACTTTTGTGACTTAGAAACTGAAGAATTTGTGTTTACATATACTCCAGTAGATAAGTACTGCTGCATAAAAATAAACTTAAGTCATTTATGAATATTGAAGATGGGAACTAGAATTACAAAGACCAAAACAAGAGTCTTCATGCTGGCAATACAGAGCTATTGCAGGAATATCAGAAGACAGGACCCTCACATTGTCATGGCCAGGAAGGAGAAAAGTAATATTGGAATGAGGTTTCTGCAAATAGCTAGCCTGGTGAATATGCAGAGATTTACTAATTTCTTTTTTGATGGGAGTATGTCAAGAGTTTAGTTTATATAATCCTTGCTGTTTTTATGACTGCTACTTCTAAAAATCTTCACCTTTACCCCATATATTAATGACAGACTTGTAAATTATTGCATTTGATACCTGAAAGTCCCCAGAGGTATCTAGGATAACAATATGCAGATAGGGAAATAGCCCCAGAGTTGAGTGATCTGGCAGCAAGTCATGCCAGGAGTGGGGAGTATTCTGATTTAAGGCATTTTAGAAAAGATTGGTAGATAATTCATTGGTATAATCCCAAGTGATAAACATGTTGGTGCACTTATATGTGTGTGGTGTTTAAAAGCACTCTAATGAAAATAAGATAGCCAAGATACAGAAATGTTTTTTTATATATGCTAAAATACTTGGATATGGGCCAATTAAAAATTGGATTACAGTACACTGTAGGATGCTTACTTGGTATTCAGTCGTATTGCAACAATGACTTCTGTCTACTGCAGAATGTGTATTTGTGACCTTAGCAGTGCTATTCTGGTGATATGAGGGATGATGGTCAGTTAAGGTAGCTGTAGAGAATATTCAGTTGTATCATTTGTTTCTCTATAAATGAGTGATTTCTTCCCTCCTTCTCTCTTATGACTGATATAAGGTACATGTATTGGATTAGAAAGAGGCAGTGGCAACTGAATGGCCATGGTAATATAAAAATAGTAATGTTAACAAGTGGGCCCTCCAAATGGAGTGACTTCTTCAGTCTTCTCACATTGTTCTCATTAAGTGATTTGTAAATTACAACAATTAAAAAAGATCAGATTAACAGTTGAAGGATTTCTTTTTATTTAATAATATAGTTGAAATTATTAATGAATAATCACTGTATGAAGATTGTTCCTTAGTTGCTTCACTGTCATAAACTTTGATGCATAAAATAGGAATTTAGTGTTGCTATCCATAATAGTATCTATTATGAGCATTATTAGTTCCAATGAAGGGTACTATGATTTAGCAAAATAAAAATAAAAAATATGTATATATATACACACACACTTGTAACTTCAAAACCAGACCTTAAGGGGCTGGGAAGGTGGCTCAGTGGTAGAGTACTTGCCTTGCATGCATGAGGTCGTGGGTTTGATTCCTCAGTACCACATAAGCAGAAAAGAAAAGCTGGAAGTGGTGCTGTGGCTCAAGTGGTAGAGTGCTAGCCTTGAGCTGAAGAGCTGAGGAAAGTGCCCAGGCCCAGAGTTCAGGGCCCATTGACTGGCAAAAAAAAAAAGAAAAGAAAAAAAAAAGACCTCAAGTCCTCAAAGGATACAGATTTATGATGCTTCACAGGTACAACTCTGCCTCCACTTCAGCATTTGCTAGTTAACTGAAGATAACATTTTGAAAACTTTTCTGCCCAGGCTAGCTGCCTCTTGAATAGCTGGAAATATAGATGTGAGATAGTAGAGACAGGCTCAAAATTTTTAATCTTATATCTTAATAGGCCAGTGGGACTCATGTTGGTTTATATGGCTGTTTATGAAATAATTATCAAAATAATGCCAACATATATTTAATATTTTAATAGTAATAATTTTGTTCTCCTTCATTATTAATCTCTTTCATATGGTAAATAATCTAGATCAATAATATTGATCAATCATATTCTTAGCTTAATTTTATTATCTTTAGCTTAATCTTTAGCTTAATTTTATTATCTAAAATCATTATTATTATTTTTTGGGGGGGTCCGTTCATGGGGCCTGAACTCTGGGCCTGGGCGCTGTCCCTCAGCTCTTCAGCTCAAGGCTAGCGCTCTACCACTTGAGCCACAGCATCACTTCTGGCTTTTTTCTTTTTGCTTATGTGGTGCTGGGGAATCGAACCTAGGGCCTCAGGTATGCAAGGCAAGCACTCTACCACTGAGCCACCTTCCCAGCCCCTAAAAACAAGTTTTTCTTATGAATTGTCTTACCAAAAATGATAATCTTGAAATACAAACAATAAAAAGACTGATCTTTCTGTTTTAGTGTTTGGAGAGTCAGCAGAAATTGGCGTGAAATTGTTGCTCAAGATAAAAAAGCAAATCGAAGGAGGAAAATTTATATCACACAACTGAAAGCAAATTCGGAGGTAATACTTTTCTGAAATAGATTTATGTAAATATCTATTTCTATACTCCTGGCTGAGCTAATTTAGTTTTTCCACTATCATTTAGCTTTTTCCGTTTAGCAATCATTTGTTAATAATTCTTCACTTTTTCCAAGTGCTGTTTCCACCCAGTCTTTAAAAGTGGAGTAGACAATTCTGCACCAAGGACATCTTGTTGGGTTTTTGTTGCTATAATTATGCAAAGTTGGAGCTGGAACTGTGGCTTTGTGGGAGAGTGCTTGCCTAGCATGCAAGAAACTATGGGCTCAATATCTCAATACCATATAAACAGAAAAAGCCAGAAGTGGTTCTGTGGCTCAAGTGGTAGAATGCTTGCCTTGAGCAAAAGGAGCTCAAGGATAGTGCCCAGGCCCTCAGTTCAAGCCCCAAGCCTGGCCAAATAAAAAAAAGAAAGAAAAAAAGGAAGGAAATTATGCAAAGTTGCTGTTGATAGCATTGAATACTAATAATCTATTGGTTTTCATTCATTACTAGCTAGTTTCTTAACATTTTTAAAGTCCAGATTTTTTTCTTCTGCTTCTTTTTGATACTTTTTGAACTCAGGGTCTTGTCTTGATCAGCTGATGCTTTACTACTTGAGCCATATCTCCTGCCCTGCTTTTTGCTATTTTGAAGATGGAGTATAGGGAATTTTTCTGCCTGGGTGTGCCTTCAAATTGCAATTCTTCGGATCCCAGTCTTCTGAATAGCTAGGATTACAGGAATGAGCCACTAGTACTTGGCTGCCAGTTCAGGCTTTTGAGTGCCAATCACCTGCCAGTAACTATGCCAGTTGCTCAGATTACAATGATGGCTGTTTCTGACATGGATTTAGAGCTCATGTCATGGAGTGACACAAGCAAACAGGTAACTACAATGCAGGTGTGTTAGAGAAAGCCAATAATTTTATTGGACATTTAAAAATAAATTTTTTTAAAAAATAAAAATTTTATTGGACTAATACTTGGGAATCAAAAAGAAGAGCATCTCAGCTTAGACTCAATGAGCTAGTAATTAGGTAGATGAAGATAGGGTAAAGTCAGCAGAGGGAAGATAGGGTAAAGTCAGCTTGGAGGTGAAGTGAATGAGCTAGGTAGATGATGCTGTGAAGCATCATAAATCTGTATCCTTTGAGGACTTGAGGTCTTTTTTTTGTTTTTTTTGCCAGTCATGGGCCCTGAACTCTGGGCCTGGAAACTTTCCTCAGCTCTTCAGCTCAAGGCTAGTGCTCTACCACTTGAGCCACAGCGCCACTTCCAGCTTTTCTTTTCTGCTTATGTGGTACTGAGGAATCAAACAAGTGCAAGGCAAGCGCTCTACCACTGAGCCAACTTCCAAGTCCCTTAAGGTCTGGTTTTGAAGTTACAAGAAAAGTTGATGAGTTCTTCCCAGGGACACTACTTTGTGTAATGGGCATCTGATGACTAACACCCATGTTTGATTGTAGATTCACTTTTTTTCCTAAGGTATCAATAAAAGAAACTTAAAGTTTAATATCTTATTCTTGTCCTAATAAAATATTTTTAAAATATAAGTACATTTCTAATTAAATAGAAAAATTGAAATGAAGCATGACTCAAACAAATGTGAACAATGTAAATATAAATCGGTGGGTTTCCCATTTCAGTAATATTAGAAATCCTGCTAACTAAAAGCTTGACTTTGAAGAAAAATTTCACTTTCTCACCTGTGATATTGCCATGACTTACTGAGTTTTTTGCTACGGCTACAGCTGCCAGCTCTAGGAACCTCTGTGAAAAAAACTGCCTTCTTAACCTATCTTTTTAGAGTATTGCCTTACATTGTAGAGATAGACTTAATTTAAAAAAGCCATTATAGTTAAGCAAATGCCTTAAGTATTTAAAATTTTGGCGCCACATAATACTTAACCTCCCTAGTAAGAAATCTTGTATATTATCAACCTCTCAGCTAATTTTGGATAGAATTCCTCATGCACTAACAATCACTTTTTGGTTTCTTAGGAGTATATTTTTTCCTTGAATTTTTTGTTTTGCTTTCTCTCACAAACCCTTTAAAAAATAACAGGTCTATGTTTTTAAAAGTGAAATTGGACTACGAAGGTTATAACACACTCATCCATCTGTCTATTCTTGTGCCATCAAGGCAGTTCCTTTGAATTCTTTAGTTGTTTCTTGTAGCCTATACCCCCATATTTCTTTTGTATTTATTTTTTATATATTTTATTGTGAAAATACTGTACAGAGGGGTTACAATTACATGGGCAAGATAATGAGTACATTTCTTATCAAGCATTGTAGCCTCCTCCTTTGTTTCCCCTTCCCATCCCTTCCCAGACTCCCCCCACCTCCCACCCAATCCTCCCCCCCATATACCCCCATATTTCTAAGTAATATGCTTTGAGCACTTTTTAAAAAATCATTTTTATCTGTAAAAGGATTAGGTTTTTAGCCTTTCATCAATACTACCATCTAACTTTTTCTGTCTGAATTCCGTTCTCCCTTACTCCTGTTTTTCTGACTATATTTATACCATCACACTTAGGAGGTGCTGACATCATTGAGACTGTATTGAGAATATTTATGACTTATATACTAACAGCATATTTTTTCCTGTGTAACTATTTTTCTGAAGTTAATAACGGTATAGTTTCTCTCTTTTTTCTTAGTGTTTCTCTGTACAGATCCCTGATTCATCTCCCATTATTCACCAGAACTGAAATCTCCTCTATGTTCCTTCTTTTTCTCAGAGACAGCCTGCCTGTAGCCCTTTGGCTTCTTATTCCAATATGGACAGGTTGTTTTGTGCCTAAATGATCCTAATGCATCACTATCTTAAAGTTCCTGTAAACAGAAACATTATAAAACAGAGTTGTTTGATGATTTCTCTCATCCTTGTAATAATGCCACTGAAAGTGCCAGTGAATGAAAATTAGAAAGCATAGACCAGGCACATGTAAGAGGAGCTCAGTTTTATCCCTTTGCTTTTTAAATAGAATGAGCTTTGAAATTAGAATACCACTCTTTTCCATTGGATTTCTTAATTTATGCTTCGCTGTTTTTCTCATATTTTTAAAAGTAAATGCCACTAAATGACTCCACTCTCACATATTTAAATCTTTTCTGGTTATATAATGACAACTTTGTTTTGAAAAATAATAGTACTTAATGAATGTGTGCCCCTTGTTATTCAATAATAGGCTTCATTGTAAGTTCCAGGAGGATTAGCCTGTTTTCCTCATTTGCCACCTATTAGGTATCCTAGAAATATTTATTAAATGAACATTCTTTTTTCCTGTGGCTGAAATTGCTTCAACAACATGTCTGTTCAGTTTTGGGGATGCAGACACACTACATTGAAATCCAGTGGTGTTTTCATTGGTGTTCTGTTTGTGTGCTCTTGGGTCATACGCTGTGGCCTAGGCTGCAAATCATTTATGCAAATGTAATATGAAACTGAGCGCTGGTGGCTCACACCTGTAATCCTTGTAATCCTAGCTACTCAAGAAGATCACAGTTTTGGGGGAGGGGAGTTGCAGGAAACTATCAGATTCTTATCTCCAACAAACTACTCAGAAAAAGTCAGAAGTGACACTGTAGCTCAAGTGGTAGAGAACTAGTCTTGAGCAAAAGAAGCTCAAGAATAGCATGTAGGGGGCTGGGAAGGTGGCTCAGTGGTAGAACGTTTGCCTTGCATGCCTGAGGCCCTAGGTTATATTCCTCAGCACCACATAAGAAAAAAAGCCATAAGTAGTGCTGTGGCACAAGTGGTAAAGCGCTAGCCTTGAACTGAAGAGCTGAGGGACAGTGCCCAGGCCCAGAATTCAGGCCCCACGACTGGACTCCCCCCTCCAAAAAAAGAATAGCATATAGGCCTGAGTTCAAACTCCACTGGCACAAAAAAAAATAATATGAAAGATGTGTTGAATCCTTGCATTAATTTTATGAAGGCTAACATTTGTTTATTATTTTTAGGAACATATCTTTAAGCTGTTAAATAATTTTTCATGCCAAGTAACTTAATTTGCTGTACTTATCCCACTGTAACTGCCCATATTTTAGCTCTCCTTACAGTTAGAAACCAGTTTTGTAAGTTAGACTATCAAGGAAGAGAAAGCACAATTACAGTTTTGGCATAAGAAAATCCATCTATTGGTTAAAAATGTAAACTTCTTTTAAAAAACTTATTTTTTCCACTATCAATCTGAACAGAATAGAAGGCTATAAAATTACTTGTTTAAGATGTGTTTGTTTTTAATATTTTTCCAGCCTTATAAAGGTATTATTGACAAATCAAATTGCATATTTTAAAGGTATGAAAACTGTTTAACATATTTCTTCACTGAGTATGTAGGAACCTAATTCAAATGAAGGATTATTTTTGTTCCTTTTAAAATGTCACAGCTGGGGCTGGCAAGGTGGCTCTCTTTCGAGTGCTTCCCTCACATGCATGAGGCCCTGGATTCCATTCCTCAGCACCACATAAGCAGAAAAAGCCAGAAGTGGCGCTGTGGCCCAAGTGGTAGAGTGCTAGTCTACAGCTGAAGAGCTGAGCGACAGTGCTCAGGCCGAGTCCAAGCTCCCTGACCAACAAAAATAGATGAATAAAAATAACTAAATGAATAAAGTAAAAAAAAAATTAAAACGTCAGAGCTGCCAGGTACCAGTAACTCATTTCCTGTAATCCTAGCTTCTCAGGAAGATTATAGTCTAAAGCTAGCCTGGGCAGGAAAGTCTGTGACACTCTTATCTCCAATAAACCACCAAAAAGTTGGGGCTGGGGGTTTAGCGCAGTGGAAGGGCGCCCGCCTGGTGCGCGCAAGGCTCTGGGTTCGGTTCTCAGCCCTGGGAAAAAAAAACAAAACACCAAAAAGTCAAAAGTGGAGCTGTGGCTCAAGCTGTAGAACACTAGCCATGAGCACAAAAGCTAAAGGAGAACGTCCCAGTATGGACATTTATATATATATATAAAAAGGTCAAGGTTGTTTAAGATTTATGTGTAAAAATGAATTAGTTCCAGCTATTTGCACAAATCAGCCAAAGATATGAGTTCTGTGGCCAACCAGTCCCATTGTTTTTCAACATATGACTAAGGTAAGAAGCCTTCAAAGAATTCCATAGTAAACTTTCAAAAAATTTACCTCTTCTTATACTTCTTTGGTGTAAAATGAATTATAAACTTGTCTGAGCCAAATCCTGTTCATCATCTATTTTTTTTGGGGGGGGGTCCGGTTGTGAGGCCTGAAATCTGGGCCTGGGTGCTGTCCCTCAGCTCTTCAGCTCAAGGCTAGCGCTCTACCACTTGAGCCAAAGCACCACTTCCGGCTTTTTTCTTTTTTGCTTATGTGGTGCTGAGGAATCAAACCCAGGGCCTCATGCATGCAAGGCAAGCGCTCTACCACTGAACCACCTTCCCAGCCCTCATCATCTATTTTTTAAAGTAAGTTTTTCTAAGACACAGCCGTGCTCTTGAAATTACTATTTGTCCATAACTGCTTTCTCTATAAGCCACAGATGAATAACTGCAAGTATGTGGTCTGCCAAGATGAAAATATAAACTACTTGGACCTTCACAGGAAAAGCTTGCTAAACAAGGATTATTACAATAAAAGAAGAAATAACTGAACATGCAAACTAAAGTATAGTTATTATTGTCTTTTTATATTTCATTGACTTTTAGGTGTGAAGTAAGAAAATATTTTTCCTATAAAGAAAGAGTCCAGGAAGAATATTCTGATGGTATGAGCTTCTTGTACATCAGGAAGCTGTCCTGGAACTGTTTTCATAGTTCAGTGTTGATTTCTCTTGCCTTTTACTATAGGAGGCTGTGTTAAGTGTTGAGGATGCTGCCACTCGACTCCATCTTCTAAATCGCTCAGCTTTAAGATCAGTGCAGGCACAGGCTCAGACACCCAGTACTCAGAAAGAGCAAGTTCCAATTCTGTCTCCTTGGGGAGAAATTTTGACGCCTATAGCAAGCTCTTCAGTTACTCCCTTAAATAGTAAACAGGAAGAGTATTTTAAGGTAAGTGTTATGTTATTAGAAATAAAGAGTTACAGAATTTGGAATAAAGTGATTGGCTGGATGATACGGGAAGATTTAATATGTGTGCTATCACTGCAGGTTGCCAAAACACTTTTTACTGATGAAGCATTAAAGCCTTGCCCAAGGTGCCAATCCCCTGCTAAGTACCAGCCATATAAGAAAAGGGGACTGTGTAGCCGCACAGCCTGTGGTTTTGACTTTTGCGTGTTGTGTCTATGTGCTTATCATGGGTCTGAAGAATGTAGTAGAGGAACAGCAAAGCCAAGAAATAGAAAAGATGCTCTCCCAGGAAGTGCCCAGAGTAAACGGAACTTAAAACGCCTCTAAAGAGACTATCTATAAAACAAGCACACCCCCATGCAGTTTTGACTTGAAATTATGACTATTTTGAGTGCATGAAAATCTTCCCATTAATGACAGATGATGATTTTTGTTCCTATTTTATATATAATACTCTTATGTCATTATATGTTATCTTTAATGTGTTTTGAAAAATTTTGCTGTTATTTTTACCCATTTTATTAACTTGGTGTTTTAAATAAAGAATTTTCAGTGTTATCATATATATATATGTATTTTACTGTTTTATATAACATGCTAAATTTGTGCATTTTGTCACTCTGTGATGAAATGTTCACCATTCATTTTCATAACATAGTTTTCTAAATAATAGTAAATAATTTGACCTTGAGAACAATTGCCTCATAGATTTAGAAAACAAATGTTTGACTTAAATGAAATATAAATAAAATGTTTATAGTCCTGTTAATTTTATTTCATAATTTAAATCTTTCTCTTATTTAGCTTATTTTATTTATTAAATTTTTTTGCAAATTCTTTATTGTGATTGATTACATAATTGTTTCACAAATTTCACAGCATTGTGGGATAGTGATGCTTAGTTAAAGTCACAAACATATTCTAATTTTCATGGGGCAAATTGTCTATTGTGGCCTATAAAGTTTATGAGTTCTATGAGCTTTGACAATACAGTTATTTCTTCCACATCGGGTGATGTATACATTCCTTTCCTTTTGCATAGCATCAGCTGTTCCCTCTTTCTCACTCATTCCCTCCCTCCCATCACTGCCATTGAGTTGCTTAGTTCGTTTTGATCAGTGTCCAGTGCAGCTGATGGGTCCCACTGTTGTATGTTTTTCCCTGATTACCTCTAGTTCTGTGTCCTCCTCCTGGTCTCCCTCTGGTGTGCACATATATACCATATATGTGTTCAGCAGCATGGGGTTATTTAGTAGTGATTCCACCAGATGAGTGGAGGTCCTTTGTTTCTCAAGTCTTGTTAACTTTGTCGTATCACCTTATGTTTTGGATTTAACATCCACTTATCAGGGAGACCATGTGCCGTTTGTCTCTTTGCTCTTGGCTTACCTCACTCAACATGATTTCTTCTAATTCCATCCAGTTCCCTGCAAATTCCATTATTTTGTCTTTTCTAATGGCTGCATAATATTCCATTGTGTATAGATACCACAATTTTTGGATCCATTCATCTGTGGTGGGGCATCTGGGTTGTTTCCATATCCTGGCTATTGTGAACAATGCTAGCATATTTTCTTTTAATTAATTTTTTTTTTGCTTCTAGTCCTGGAGCTTGAATTTAGGGGTTGGGTACTGTCCTTGAGCTTTCGTACTCAAGTGTCATGCTCTACCACTTGAGCCACAGCTCAGTTCCAGGTTTTTTGGTCCATAACTGGAGATAAAAGTCTCACAGACTTTCCTATCCAGGCTGGCTTCAAACTGTGGTCCTTAAATTGGAACCTCATGAGTAGCTAGGATTTAGGCATGAGCCACTGGTGCCTGGCAGAAAAACAGTTTTTAATAAGAAATTACCAAGGTAATCTATGTTATACTTGGCATAAATTTATAATGATATACCTGTTTTCAAAAATTATTTGAGTTTGATGCATGTTTCATGTATATAGATCAGCAAAAATAAGAGGTGAGTTTTATTGTTAAATGATTAAAATTGAGGAAATTTAATAGTCGTTTTCATAATTTTTGTGTTTAGGTATTGCTGTATCTGTGTTCACACTCTACACAAATATTTACATATAACTCTCAATCATTTGTATTTTTTGGCAATACTGAGGCTTGAACCCATAGCTTTACCCTTGCTGGGGAAACACTTCAGACTTGGGCCACACCTCTATCCCTTTTTCTTCTAGGATCATAAACTTAACCTGTTCTTTCTCTTTTTCTCTTTTTTTCTCTCTTTCTTTCTTTCTTTCTCTCTCTTCTTTCTTTCTCTCTCTCTCTCTCTCTCTCTCTTCTTTCTTTTTTTGGTGCTGGTCCTGTGGCTTGAACACAAGTCCTGAACATTGTCTCTGAACTTTCATGCTCAAGGCTAGTGCTCCACTTGAGCTACAGCTACAGTTTTTTGTAATTAACTGAAGAGTCTTCTCACAGGCTTTCCTGCCTGGGCTGGCTTTGAACCATGACCTCCTGTTCTGAGACATCCTGAGTAATTAGGATTACAGGTGTGAACTACCTGTGCCAGGCAGGATTGCCTTTTTTGTTTTTAAATTGGATCTTGAAATTTTACTCTGATCAGCCTATACTTTAATCATTCTATTTATGCCTTCTATAATGCCCACTACATGATTTTAATAAAATTATTTAACATGTTAATTAGATTCAATAGATTTGGAAAATATGTCAAATATGTTTTACTGTATGTTTAACTTTGCTATACGTATATATTTGTCAGTCATGGGGCTTGAACTCTTGGCCTAGGCACTGTCCCTCAGCTCTTCAGCCAAGGCTAGTGCTCTACCACTTGAGCTACAGCACCACTTCTGGTTTTCTGGTGGTTCATTGGAGATAAGAGTCTCATGGACTTTCCTGCCTGGTCTGGCTTTGAACTGCGATCCTCAGATCTCAGCCTCCTGAGTAGCTAGGATTATAGGCATGAACCACCAGCGCCTGGCTGCTATAAAATTTTTATTAGTTGCTAATAGTAAATTTTAACAATTTCCTTTCTAATTTAAGAGGCAAAACATGAGTATGAGCAATGCATTAGTTGTATTTAATGAATTTAAAATTTGTATACTTTATGACTTACTTGAATGTTTCTAAATTTAATTTCCTGAGACATTTTCCACATCAGGATCAGTTTGGTTAATTTTTCTCACTTCAAGTTTATCATTTATTGTTCATCAGAAAAATTTGTTTTTAAGAAAATTTCAGTCCTTTGTTAAGATATGAGGTCACTTCTTTGATTTATTTAGTCCATTTACTTATGTTTGACTTTTCTGTGGCTTAAATCAAGTCAAAGTCATATCTTCATTTGATATGTGAATATTTTTTTGCAATATATGCTCTTGATTTTTTTCCTGATATAAATGCCATTACCAAACTGACTCTTTAGATCTTCAAATTATTGGCTGGAAATGTGGCTTAGTGGTAGAGTGCTTGTCTCTTGTCTAGCACTCATGAAACCCTGGGTTTGATTCCTCAGTACCACATACACAGAAAAAAGCTGGAAGTGGCTCTGTGGCCTTAAGCACAAAGAGGCTCAGGGATAGTGTCCAGGTTCTGAGTTCAAGCCCAGGACTGGCAAAAAGGAAAAAGAGAAAAGAAATCTTTAAATCATAGATCCTATTCTTTGATGTGGTGTGAGTTTTTAAATTTTTATTTTATTTTTATTTTTTTGATGCTAGTGCTTGAACTCAATCTGGACTCTGTGCTGGTCCTGGGGTTTAAAACTCAGAACCTGGGCACTGTTCTTGAGCTCTTTTTGCTCAAGGTTTGTACTATACCACTTGAACTACAGCTCCACTTCAAGCTTTTTTTTTTTTCCTTTTGGTAGTTAATTGGAGATGAGAGTCTCCCTTGGTTGGCTTCAAATCTTGATCCCCACATCTCACCCTTCTGAGTAGCAAGGATTATAGGCGTGAGCCACCAGCACCTAGCTCTTTGATATGTTTTTTAAAATTAAATACAATATCATCTCTAATGTATCCCACTTAAATTTCTTAGTATCTAATGAATTTTATTGTTTTAGTATAAAATAATGGGAAAGGAAAATAAATGTGCACCTGTGAACACCATGCAACTTAACCATTGTGAGGCTTTTGGTGTTGTCTTGTGTATCGTATGCAGCCAGTGTCTTCACAGTGTGAGCACATCTATCTCTGTTGTTATCCAGTGTTTTCTCTCTTGATTGAGAAAAAGTAGATTTTACCATATTTTATTTAAGAAAGAAACTATAATATGTTATTCTCTTAAATTTTTTACTGTAAAGGTGATGTATAGAGGAGTTACAGTTACATGTCAGATAATGAATACATTTCTTTTTGAACAATGTCAACTTCTACCTTGTTTTCTCCCAGTTTTTCCCCCTGCTGACCCCCCTCTCTCCCTCCAAAGTTCATTTGGAGTTCATTTCCAACATAATGTCTAGTGAGTATCACTGCTGAATTGGTTCACCCTTTGTCCCACTATTTCTGTGCTTCCCTTCCCCTCCCCAAATCAGATAAACATATACAATAAAAAACAGCAACAAAAGGGAATAAAACAAAGAAAAAAGAAAAAAAAGAACCGCAAACATTACAATAAAAAAACCTCTTGTTTCCATTTCTTGGAGTTCATTTTGATAAAAGCACCATTTTATATGATCATATACACATAGCCATTGAGCCCTTTTGATACCTTCCTAAGAATATCCTCCCTTGTTCTCATTGTGTGAACATTTAGGGTGCTGTTTAATTATATTCAAGTGTAATTATTTGTCTCTTACTATCCATTGAGTTTACTAGTAGATTTATAGGCACATTCTAATTATTACAAATATTTTTTTGGGGTATGGCTCACTTTTCTCAATATAATTTTTCCATGTCTTCTTGTTTCCTTACAAATGGGTCCAATGCCATTCTTTCTATTGGAAGCATGGAATTCCATTGTATATCTATACCACATTTTTTTGATCTATTTCTCTTCTGAGGGGCATCTGAGTCGCTCCAAATCTTAGCTATGGTAAACAATACTTCAATGGACATGGTTGTGCTGGTGGCTTTAGTGTGGCCTTGTTTGTGGTCAATTGGATAAATGACCAGGAGTGGGATTGCTGAGTCATACAGAAGGTCTAAGTCATGTTTTTCTCTACTGCAAATACTCTTAACATTAGAAGCTGAAGGGTTTTATTTGTTGTTGTTTTAAATATTTTTGGTTTTAGTTGAGTTTAAGTAATTTGACCAACAAGGAATGAAGGAATCAGTATAAAGATAACATGTTTTACTGATTTTTATAACAGTATTTCCTGAAGAAAAGAGATCAGAATAGGAATTCAAAAAGTTTCTTCTTAGGCT